TTCAACCCAAGCGGTCTTGGTTAATTTTTTTTATTTTTATTTTTTACTTTTTCTCCAAAATTTTATTTAGTTATTTTTTTTATTTTGATTTCTTTTGTTTTAAAACTTATTCATTTTTCTATTTTGATTCTTTTTTAACCTTTTTTTTTTTTTTTGCTTCTTGCTTAAAGTATTTTTGTTTTTTCATTTTAGTTCCTTTGTTGGATTTTATATGCTTTAAAATGTGTTTCATTTCTAAAATTTTATTTTGAGAAATTTTATTGTGACGTGTATTTTTTTTCTCTATCTCTATGCCCTTTTTCTTTACTTTACTCCTATTAACATAATTTTTTTTATATGTGTCCGTTCATAAATTTTTTCTTTATTTTCGTTTTGCCAAAAGATTCTCTACAATGTAATTATTTTTAATATACTTCTTTTTAAATATTTTTTTCCAAGTGTTCTTATTAAAATATATTTTTTAGATGTGTCCCTATTAAATTTTTTTTCTGAGTAATTATTGTTATTTAATGGTAATACTTATAAAAATATGTGTTGATTAGTTGTATATTAACTAGCTAACTAATTAAAATATTTATTATTAAATAAATTAAAAAAGATAACAACAATAATTAAAACTTAATGCACGGAGTACGCTCGAGCACTTAAATTTCCACTAGTATAAATGATCTGAAGCTTCGAGAGATATACCTAAAGTTTTTGGGACAGGCGGTATGTAAGACTAGATCTATAGATAGAGAAATAGAGAGGTGCTATTAACATCTTCTTTTTTTTTTTTTTTTTTTTTTTTTTTTTTTTTTTTTCATCTTTTTTTTTTTTTTTTTTTTTTTTTTTTTTTTTTTTTTTTACATTTTTCATTTTCAACAAGGGAAAAAAAGGAAAAAAAACAAATCAAGCCAGACGTTTGTTTCTTTCCTCCGTTGAATCATTTAAAGAGGCTAATATAATCACATGACATTTTTTAACTGGGCGGATGGGGTTTGGGATAATATTTTTGGACAGATTTTACAAAACCTACTAAATTTAAGGTATCATTAATTTTGGCGTGGGCTATATTAACATTGTAAACAATAAGAATTTTGCGGTGGAGGTACACTACTGTATTAAATTTAATTAAAACCATATAAAAAATGTATAAAACTGAAAGGACTAATTATTAGAGATCTAACTGTCAAAACATTTTTATATTAACGGGGTTTTTTCATGCAACTTATAAATGATGTGAGGCACACAACGGTCATATTCATGCGACTTATAAATAAAAAAATGACGTGAGGCACACATTCTGTTAGTTTGTAGTTTGTGTGGCTGAGCACTAATATTACCGCACAGTATTCGTACATAGATCATATCGGATGGGATCCACCATTTTTGTAAATGTGGGGTCAATTCTCCATATTTGACTTGTTTGTCACATTAGTTATTACCTTCTATAATTTTTTTTTCTTCTCATCAAGACCTTAATGTGGGGTCAATCTTACAAAATTCAACAAGACTTTGATGCTTCAGATTGGATAGTTTTGTCCTATTAGACTGCATTGGGTCTAATAACTGACGATGAATATTATTCATAAAATCATAATATCCCAGAGATTTAAAAGAGAAAGTTGATTAAGAGTTTAAATTTTTATTTTTTATTAATATTTTTTGACTAAAAATGATATATATATTAATAAAAAATAATGAGTAAAAATCTAAACTTGAATACTTTAAGATTTATTTATCTCATTTTTCCTATTAAAAAAGAGTAGAAATGTGAGGACGGTCTACAATACAACTTTTTATTTTCATGTCAAACTAAATAAAATCGTCAACACTTAACAATAATAATATATACCATCATCGTAGTCAACAATAAATTATTGTACACGTCCACATAGTAGTGTCAAATGGGCTGGACTGTCTATAGACGGCTCGGCCCAGCACATAACAGTGCCGAATTCGGCACGACTGGTACGATACTGTTACAGGCCGTGCCGGCTCAGCGCTTTTGATGGGCTAGGGTTGGGCCTCAGCTTCTCAACCCGCGGCCCAAGCCCGTGAAGGCCCGCAGCCCGGCCCAAGCCTAGTTCGGCCCAAGCTCGGATTTGGCCCGGCCCAGGCCCGTGAAATAGCTCGCAAAACACCCCCAGCCCGTGAGGATTGTGACCGTTGGGCCCTTCGCGGGCCCAACAGTTAGCCTGTGACGGGCCTAATGGGAGGCCCGTCACAGGCCGACCGTTGGGCTCGCGAAGGGCCCAACGGTCACAATCTAAAAACCCCATATAAATACCCCTTAATTCCACCCTAAATCTCACACAACAATTCGCTCTCAACTTCTCATCTCGCTCTCATTTTATCTCTCATCTTGTCTCTTTGATTTTGATTCTAAGCTTTTTTTTCCCGATCACTCATTTTCTTGCTCTTTCATTTACAAAGTTAAAGTTTAATCAATTTCCAGAAAATGGTTGCATCAAACTTTCCTGATTTCACTACTTTTCCTGAGCTTAGTGATGAGCCATTTTTTGAGGGTGGTGAAATGATGCCTCCCAACCCCACCCCCACTGAACCAGAAAATGCTATGGTTGATAATGCTTCAGTGCACAATGAGGAAGTTGGAGAACACACCAGGGGAAAAAGATCGTGAACTTCTCCTGCATGGCAACATTTTACAAATGAGCCCTGACCAAATCCAAAAACAGGTAAAATAGAAATTCATGCCGTATGTAAGTATTGTAAAAAATATTTTTCTAATAAAAAGGGTGGGGGTACTGGTCATCTGTATAGACATTAGAAAGTATGTCTACCGTTGCACCAAGGTGGGAGTGTGGACTCCCATCAACAAACACTATCACTCACATCACATGGGTTGCAAAATTTTACATACGATGCACAATGTGCTTGTGAGGCACTAGCTAAATTTATAGCTAGTGCCGAATTACCTCTTTCTTTTGCAGATGATGCGTCGTTCGAAGAATTTATACAGACGGCCTTCTGCCTACAATTTAAACGGGTAAGTAGAAACACAACTCGTTCTGATTGCATGAAAATGTTTTATGTAATGAGACAATCTCTTGTTGATAATTTTAAGACTTTTAATGCTATTGTATCTTGTACTTCTGATCTATGAGAGAGGTGCAATAAAACTGGATATTTATGCGTAATTGCGCATTATGTTGATGATGAATGAGTTTTACAAAAAAGAATAATAGGTTTTCATTTATGTCCATATCCTCATAACGCATCAGCTATTTTTGGTACAATAATGAAAATTTTTGAGTTTTATGGGATAGAAGATAAAGTTGTAACTACTATTTTTGATAATGTGTCAACTTACACGGCTGCAATTAACATGTTTAAACATAGTTTGAAACTAGCGTTTGGGGGAGAAATTTTTCATCAACGGTGTGCGTGTCACATAATCAATTTAGTAGTTTAGGCAGAAATTGAACATATTTCAACTAATCTAACAAATATTAGAGAATCTTTATCATTCATATATAGTTTGGAGCTTGGCTCCAAGAATTCAAACAATATTGCAGGAACAGTTAGATGCGCTCAAGAAAGTTCTCAACTATCGTGAGACATAGGTGGAATTCCACATATTTAATATTGAAGGCTACGCTCCCATATTCATAGGCCATCACAACGTATGTAAACAATAAGAACGATAAACTTTTAATTTTCGATACAGATTGGCAGATTGGTGAGTATTTTTTTAAATTTCTAGAAGTTTCTTACAATGCTACTGAATTACTTTCCAGAATTTATTATCCTACTGCACATTTAACTTTACATCAACTATTTAATATTTCAGAAACGTTTTCTTATTATAGGGATACAATACTTTTTGGAGACATAGTTAAGCTAATGGAAACTAAATTTAAAAGTTATTGGTCAGGTTGTCCTACGTTATATGCATTAGTAACCATTTTAGATCTTAGGTGCAGAGTAGATGAGACTGAATCTTTGATGACTGCTACAGCATAAAATTTAGATATTGATATGCAACTAACTATTATTGACGCTAGAAAAATGTTAGGAAAGGTATTTAGTTTGTATGAAGTAAAATACAACACAGGTAAAAAAGAACAGAGAACTTCGACGTCAACTAGCAGTTCGGGACCTAAATGATCATCGTGGAGTTTCTTGAAGAAGAATGAGAAAACGACAGGATCGTCATCAACACAAGTGTCTACCAAACTGGTAAAATATTTTGAAGCAAATTTTGTAATCGATGATGACAAACTAGACATCTTACAGTGGTGGAAGAGTAAGACCGATCATTTTCCAGCACTGTCTGTAATAGCCCGTGAAATTCTGACAACTCCAGTGTCAACAGTAGCATCGGAGTAAGCATTTAGTGCAAGCAACCGAATTCTTGACGAGAAGAGAAGCAGAATGCATCCAGATATCTTTGAGGGGCTAATGTGCATTAAAGACTGAGAAGATGCCGGAAGATGAAAACAACAATACACGGATGATTCAATGCAAGACTATTTTTCTAACTTAGAAATAACAGAATCTTCTGGAAGCACTTAGGTTTGTAATTTACTATTCCTAGAATACTGCAATTTTTTTTTCTTCGCTAAGGTTTTGTCCCGATCTCCCATTGGGTTTTACTTAGCAAGGTTTTTAACAAGGCAGTCATTTATGTGTATTTATTCGTATTATCTCAATTCAATAAAATCACATCTTTTGAGGGCATATGATATATTTTCTTTTTTTTTAATTAAATTTTGAAAAAAAAAATTACAAGGGCCAGGGCCCAGGCCCGCCCAAACCCGGCCCTGGCCCTTATGGACTAGGGCCGCGGGCCTGAGACTTTTTCCTCAGGCCCGGCCCATACCTACCATAGGTCTAGGGTCGGACGTGCCGTGCCAGCCCGGGACAGCACGTTTGACGTCCACATAGTCATATCATGTAAATTAGTTATATTTAAGTCGTTCATCAACAATCTGCCTATAAATATGGAACCACTAGCAGCAATAAGATCACGAAATAAGCACACAACACCCTTATAATAAGTCTGAATTAATTTATCTCCATTTACTACGTTTTGTCCAAATAACCAGAGCCAATATGGCAGTACTTGAGTTCCTATCACTACCACTACTAGTCTTACTTCCATTGGCCTTTATGGTCATAATTCCCAATGTCTTCCACCATCGTCGCCGCCACCTTCCTCCAAGCCCTATCGCCATGCCGCTCATCGGACACTTCCACCTCCTCAGCCCCGTCCTCCACGCCTCCTTCCGAGACCTCTCTCTTCGGTGGGGCCCTATTTACTCCATCCGCCTCGGCGCCCTCCCTTGCGTCGTGGTCTCCTCGCCGGAACTCGGCAGGGAGTTACTGATGACCAACGAGCTCTCCTTCACCTCCCGCATCGAGGCCTTTGCCATATCCCGCCTCACCTATGCGACCTCCACGGCCTTCAACCCCTACGACGCCACCTTTAAGTTCATCCACAGGCTCACCATGAACGAGTTCCTCGGTAACCGCCCCGTCAGCGCCCACGCCCCGCTCCGCGCCCGCGAGCTCCGGCGCTTCTTGCGCGTCCTCGCCGAGAAGTCCGAGCGCGGTGAAGCCTCCAACCTGACGGAAGAGCTGCAGAATCTGACGTACGCCGTGATCTTACAGATGGTTTGCGGCGTTGACAGAAGCCTAGTGGAGGATCCGGAGGCCAAGACGGCGGTGTATGGGATGCTTACGATATTCGGAAACTTCAGCGTGTCGGACTTCGTTTGGATTCTGAGGTGGTTGGATTTGCAAGGGTCTTGGAAGCGGACGGAGAAGATTTTCCGCAAGTTTGATGTGTTAATGGAGACGGTTCTTGTAGAACGTGAAGAGCTGAGGAGAAAGCAAAAGGAGGTGGGGAAGGAGCTGGGCGTCAAAGACGGAAATTTTCTGGACATTTTGCTTGATCATTTGGAGGTTCACAAAGACGAGAATGTGCAGTTCAACAGACCTCGCGTGAAAGGCTTGATTATAGTGAAGTTCTTCAACCCCAACTGGTTGAATTATGCTTGTTTCTGAGTTTTTCTTTCTTTCTTAAAGATTTAAATCATCAGAATATATAGATCAGTTAGACGCTTACTAGATCGTTTTTAACAATTGGCCGAATTAATTGGAAATTATGTGCACTCTGCAGCATCGCATATTAATCGTAGTGGTGTAAATATGGGAGTGGGACTAGGGCTAGGTCTTCGGTCAGTTTTTTAAAATTAAAAAAATATATATATTGAACTCTTTATGCATATAGCAAAATTTAAATAGTGAAATGAAAATATAGCAATATTTTTCTGGGAAAAACTGTAGTAAATAGTAGATTTATGAAATTAAATTAAGCGAATAGCAAAATTTATAATTATTTGAAGTAATTAGTAGCTTACTGTGTAAGTATTTCATTTATGACTAATAAAAAATAATTTACATGGTAAAAACTCTATTTATATGGAAATAAAATCTTTTTACCCGTCGTAAAAAGAAAATTTATGTGGAAAAAAATCTTTTTACTAATCATAAAAAGAAAATTTAGACTGTGAACTGCTATTTACTTCAAATAGTTAAAAAATCTATTATTTACTTCAATTATTTACTATAAATCTGTTATGTACTTCATTATCTCAAAATTTTAAAATATTACGTAAATAGCAGAATTTGATATCATTAAGATAATGACTATCATTATATAGCAAAAAATTTGACAGCATTATGATAATTACTATACCATTTTTTTTTTTTGTAACATTTTAAAAGTTTTGCTAAATTTAATAGTATAAAATTTTACCATGTAAGGTAATTATTCCAAAAAATATTTCTGTATTAAACATACGGTTTATCTAGCCGGTGTTGGCCCTATTTTCTCTTGGCAGTCGGCTCGCCCATCCCGATTTCCCTCCTAGCTAGTTTTTTAGATTTAGTAATTGCACTAATAATAGATTTTGCATAGATATTTTATTTTTATTTACATGAATTGTTTAAATAATTTGTGTATATGCTCACCAGTCATTAATGTTTTGTTGTAAAACGTTAAATCCCTTTTAGCTTTTCTTGATGATGACACAATAGAAAAATTATGATATCACAATAATTTCTTTCCAGGACTTGATCTTAGCCGGTTTAGAAACAACCGCTGCTACAGTCGAATGGATGCTGTCGGAGCTTATCAACAATCCAACGGTGCTCGAGAAAGCACGTCAGGAGATTGACCGTGTTGTTGGACAAACTCGGTTAGTCAACGAATCGGATGGTCCAAATCTTCCATACATGCAAGCCATCATAAAAGAAGTGCTTCGGCTACACCCAGTGTCCCCCGTGATCACAAGAAAATGCGTGAAAGAACATAAAGTGGGAAAGTACGTAATTCCAGTAGACACCATTCTGTTCGTCAACAATTGGTCCATTTCAAGGGATCCAAACTATTGGGAAAGCCCACTAGAGTTTCGGCCGGAGCGGTTCTTACAAGTCCGCAAAGAAGGATCAAAGACCGGCACAGATATAAAGGGACAACACTTTGAACTTTTGCCATTTGGGACTGGCAGGAGGATGTGCCCTGGAATGAACTTCTCACTACAAATGTTACCGATCGTTGCAGCTACCATAATCCAGTGTTTTGATTTGAAGATTGTTGACTCACTTGGCAATAAAAGTGATGGCCACGGTTCCACTGTGAATATGGAAGAAGGGCCAGGAACTATAGTCCCAAAACTTCATCAGCTTGTTTGTGTTCCAGTTGCTCGCCTCAATCCACTTTCTGTTATCCTTGAACCTGAGTTATAGAATATTACTACTAAACACAACAGTAAATAGTACTACTAAGTACGTACAATAAATGATGCTTGTTTGTCGTTATACAAATGTTTAGGTGTTATGTTTTCTGTAGAGTAGATGCCTTGAAAGTATAAATGGAACAATCATCTGGCTATATTGGAATAAAAAGTATTTACGCTTTTAGTAAATTGCACGTAATCATAAAGGGTTCTTTTACGGTGCTTTAAAATTCATCGTCATTTTTATAATTTTAATGTTCAAAATTCGGTAGTGTATTATTTAAATATGCAAGTTATCATATTTCTTTTAAAATTTACAAGTCTATCTTGTAACTTGTATAACAAAAACGCTTAAAGTTCGCAAGTTTTAATTTCAAACGTATAAATTATTGTATTCTCGATACGATGTTAAAACATATTTTTCTTCTAACACCATAGAAGTTTCCTATTATAATAAAACAAATATCATAAGGATTAGTAACTGTATTTATCTTTTAGTTTTTCATTACATCTTCTACCATATTCAATTTAGTTGTTCTCTACTTATGTTGTTGATTTGTTGTAAAATAAAAGCCGAGAAGTTCCATGGAGATGTAGAAGCTGATGGATAAATACTCTTAATTATTTGTTGTAATTATCATAAGGTCGCTCCGATGGTGAGCTTGGTGAGAAGAGGTTCAAAAGAATGATGCCTAACACGGAAACGAAGAGGATGCTATGGGAGACATGCATGTCACTGAGGGAGTCTTCATTAGACATGTCTAGTGCGAGTAGAGTCTTCATTGGAGTCAAAACACTGAGAATCAACCTTGACGGACGAAGAAGAATATGTTATAAGGCTTAGGCTTAGGAATTTTGGGCTTCCAAAATGACAAGAGGAAGGCTTTTGGAATTCTCTATCACCCATTTGTATTTAATCTAATTAATTCTGAAAACCTCCCGAGTGAGATCCAAATTGGATCGAATTAAACGATAAATGAGCATATTTGATCACACATGGCCCACCAAACCACAACCCACGGGAGTCCCCGAGCGTGGCTTGAGTTCACAAAGCAAACCCAATAATATCGTGTGACGTCATGGTTGGGCCTAAATCCTTGAATAGGCCTGGTGCAAAATCGGGTATCAACAAGTATAAAATATGATTATATTAATTACTATGTAATTTTTTTTTTCTATATTTGTAATATTTTGAGAATTTTGCTAAATTAAAGCGAGCTAAGAGCTTGTTTGGTTCAACAACTTAAATTGTGGAGATTTGAACCTTTTTAGTTAGAACTGTTGAATCTGAACTGTGGTGATTCAAATTGTGATCCGAACTGTTATTTGGATATGCAAATAAATTGTAATTTGCATTGGGAATAAAATCTGAATTGTGTTTGGATAAAGAATTAAAAGCTGTCATTAGAATTTTGTAACAAATCTTATAAAACCTCATTATAAATGACATTAAAAAATATACAATATGGGTCGAGATTTGATCCTCTATTCATTATGAACACATTAAAAAATCATCTTAATCATAATTTAAATGAAGAAATGATGACATTTTTAAGATTGAAATTGAAAAGAAATAAAAGTAGAATCTGAAACTATTAGACTGTTGACAACAATTCAGATCGTTAAAATTTAGGGGGAAAGTGAATTCTAAAATCAACAATTTAAGTTGTCCTTAAACTATTGCTAATGGTTTGAATTGTTCTTACATTTTCTTTTCCTAAACACCAATTTAAATTTTAAACTAAGATTTGAATCCTAAATAACGGTTTGAGTCGTTGAAACAAAGGCTAAGAAATTGTGTTAATTTCTGCATAATAATCTTCCGTAAAGTCCCCAACGGACAATGATTCATGAGTTTGGACTATAACTCAATAATTAAGAACTGGGCCAGGCACCGGGCTTGATTGGATCTTGTTAGGCCTCAAATCCACCCCTCCTCAGACAACATCGTTTTCACCCCGCCCACCTCGGCTACTGTGGAGAGAAAAACAGAGAGGGGAGAGAGAGCTGCATCAACGAAATCGAGCTTTCGGTTTTCTCTGCTTCTGATACAGTTCTGCCATGGAAACCCTGGCTTCTCAGCTCACTTCGACGCTTCGTTTGCCTTCGATGGTGTCTGTAAGCTTTAATGGCAGACTCTCAAGCTCCATTGTTCTCACAAAACCGAGCTCGCGTGTCCATACATTCAGATGCTCAGCACTATCATCGCCTTCTTTAGGTAAATTGCTTATTTTTTTCGTTTTTTGTTGAAATCTTCAAATTCTTTGTCGTCGGAGTCATCCACCTTGCTTTTCTCTGGCTCCGACTCGGTTTGCAGGAAAATGATCTTACGTGAAAGGCAAATTGCCTCTGTTTGGCGGCCGAGAAAAGCGAGGAAACTAGCATAAGATTAATTCTGGGGAATTTTACTTTATATTAATTTTTATTCGGGTATAATGTACGTTCTGGTTCTTAATATGGAAAATAATAGAATTTGTTTGAAGTCTCAAATTGAGAAAAGTTACAAGTTTAGCAGAACAGTTTCTTAGCTACTAACGCATAACGTGATTTTTTTGAATCCGAGGTAGGAATTAGACGAAATATCACTGTGAGACGTAACATGATTTTCCCCTAAAATGATTTAATGTCAATTTTGGTTGGCGCGTTTCATTTCCTCCAGTGGATCAATCGGAAAGATTTTCGGAAGCTTCGAAGAAGGGAAATTTAATTCCTCTGTATCGAACAATATTCTCGGATCACTTAACTCCGGTACTTGCATACCGATGTCTGGTTAAGGAGGATGATAGAGATGCTCCAAGCTTTCTGTTTGAGTCCGTTGAGCCGGGTTTGAGAGCTTCCAGTATTGTAATCCCTTTTTTCTTGTTCGTACGGGTGTCTATTTTCTTCAGTTTTCTGGTTCTTCAATGTTCTAAGCTTTTATCTTTTTTAGGGGCGGTACAGTGTGGTTGGAGCTCAGCCCGCGATTGAAATAGTTGCGAAAGAGAATATGGTTACGATTCTCGACCACGAGGAAGGATGTAGAACAGAGGAGATTGTTGAGGATCCGATGATTGTTCCTCGGAGACTAATGGAGGGATGGACACCTCAGCTTGTCGATGAACTTCCAGAAGCATTTTGTGGTAAGAATAGCGGATACAAAACGTAATTGCTGTTTTATAAAGAACATATGACATCAGTTTCCTATGAACTTAACTTTAAATGGCTGCTTGTTTTCTGGTGTTAGATCAGAGAAGTGTGGTCAATTTATTTCTGAAGCTAATAGGCTGGGTTCGTAATGGCCAAAATCTTCTTCTCATATGATTTTTGTTATTTTTTACCATTCCGTACCAATTCTTTCTTGTGAAAAAATGTAAGGTTGAATATTGTTTGGTATTGGTAATTCTCACAAATATATTGTTAGATTAGTATTTTAAATTATTGTTTGATCCAGTCCCGGAGCAAAGGATTTTTCTATGAGGTGACTAGTTGATGTTCAGTGATATGCTCTTTTATCAGGTGGATGGGTTGGTTTTTTCTCATATGATACTGTGCGCTATGTGGAGAAGAAAAAACTACCATTTTCTTCTGCCCCTCTGGATGACAGAAATCTTCCCGATGTTCATCTAGGCCTTTATGATGACGTGATTGTTTTTGATCATGTGGAGAAGGTAGTTAAACTGTCAAACCATGCCCTTTTGAGCGTCTCTTTTTTTCTCGTGTTTGATGCTTTTTTATGCTGAGTAGGTTTTATCATTTTGTGGTAGTTAACTTCCTTATTTCCTGGTAGTAAGTATTCAAGCTGTATCTGACGTTCACTCTCTGCAATCGCTTCACTCTAGCAAACATAAAACAGAAGCGTAGATTCAAATCCACATGGACATGATTATCGTTATAAGAGCTTCTACATACTTTGACTAAACAAAATTTCCCTTTAATTTTTTCCCAATCTTTGGCTGTAAAATTTATCGCAAGGGAGAAGTAAAAGAATCCCCCATGTCTTGGCTATCGGTTGTATCTTTTGATTGGAAAGATTAAAAGAGATAGTTGTGAACATTATTTATCTTTTTTGTTCCTTTTTTTTGTTGTTGCAGAAAGCATATGTCATTCACTGGGTGCGATTAGGTCGATATTCTTCTGTTGAGGAGGCCTTTAATGATGGAATGGACCGATTGGAAGCATTAGTATCTAGAGTGCATGATGTAGTCACGTAAGTATACTTTTTAACTTTTGCTTTCTCTTTCTTTTAAGCTGTAGGGAGTGGTAGTGTTCCATACTTCTCAACAAAGAGTCTCTTATGGTTTGCGTCAGGATGTATAAATTTGAACTGTCTATTTCAGCCCGAGGCTGCCTGCAGGCTCAATAAATTTGCATACCCATCTGTTTGGTTCTAAATTGGAAAATTCAAGCATGACAAGTGAGGAATACAAGGAGGCTGTTTTGAAAGCGAAAGAGCATATATTGGCTGGTGATATATTCCAGATTGTGTTGAGTCAGCGTTTTGAAAGAAGAACATTTGCAGATCCGTTTGAAGTGTATAGAGCATTAAGGATTGTCAACCCAAGTCCGTATATGACTTATTTGCAGGTTTGCTGCTAATCTTGAAAAATAAGCTTCTTGGTGGATTTAAAGTTCGTTCAGACATTCTGACCCTATAAATAACATATTTCGCATTATCAGGCTAGAGGATGTATTCTGGTTGCTTCAAGTCCTGAAATTCTCACTTGTGTGAAGAAGGTAACTCCTATTGTGATGTGATGTACTATTCTTTGACCATCCATCTTCTGCAAGGTGCTTGTGCTTTTTTATGGTGTTATTTTTATTGGCGTAGTTTTATTTTCTTATATGGCCATGCGTTACTTATTCTTGCTGATAGAAAAAGATCACTAACCGGCCCCTTGCTGGGACGATTAGAAGAGGCAAGACACCTAAAGAAGACCTAATGTTGGAAAAGCAGCTTTTAGATGATGAAAAGCAATGCGCAGAGCACATCATGCTGGTAGACTTGGGGAGGAATGATGTTGGGAAGGTTATACTTTTTCTTTTTTTGTATTATTTTCTTTCAAATGTGTTGATTTTATTCATTTAAATTTTGGGTCGAATGCATTGTGATGGTGTTTTTCTATACCAAGCATTTGGCCTCTCGTTGGATCCCACAATGAGATTTGACCTTCTTCTGGTATCCTGCTTTTGCTGGTTGATCCTAGAATTCAGTTGATAAGGTTGTGTACCATCTGCATGCATTTTAACGCAAACCTCCTATTAGAGTAACAATGAAAATGTACGCAACGGTCAAGGGAATTGTCCTGTATTCTTTTTTGTTTTATCATGATTCATTTTTACCTTAATAGTTGTTCACAATCTGCACATCTTCTGTTCAATTTGAACTTTGTGCTGGAATCATGCATTCAAGCTATTCTGTTCATGCAGGTCTCCAAGCCTGGTTCTGTCAAGGTTGAAAAACTCATGAACATTGAGCGATATTCCCATGTTATGCATATCAGTTCAACGGTAAGTACCTACTTTTGTAGTTCATCATGAAAAATTCCGGCAAACAAGGATGACTACATTTGTTGCTTGGGTATCTTAAATTGGCTTACAAAAACCGCACACTAGATTTGCTTCTATTAAGAATTTGCTGCTATTATGTGCTTGTAGCAACTTTTGTTGCACTACATTGTTCTCATAACAGCCGAGATGCTACATCTCATTAATCAGGTAACTGGGGAGTTATTAGATGATTTGACAAGCTGGGATGTTTTGCGTGCGGCATTACCTGTTGGGACAGTCAGTGGAGCACCAAAGGTAATTCATGACAAACCTTCTAGTCGGAAAAGATGATGATAGGGCCTATGAAAACGCAAGAGACTTTTCTTACAAAATTCCCAAAGATATATTTCTAATTTCCCCAGCATTAGTTGGTAGTCCCTATGAAGTGTTGATGAAATCCGTTACTGGTACCAACCAGCTAGTCATGCCCAGGAGATGAGAGGGGAAAAAAAATACTTGGCAGTTTGAAAGAGAAGTCTGGTGTTTTCAGCCCTATTACTATCTTTTGTTTTGAAACATTTGAGCAAACGCTTGGCGTAAATGTTATTATCTTGAACTGTGTGCCATGCTGAAATGCAGGTAAAAGCCATGGAGCTAATTGATGAGCTGGAAGTGACGAGACGTGGGGCTTACAGTGGCGGGTTTGGAGGCATTTCTTTTAATGGGGACATGGACATTGCCCTTGCTCTGAGAACCATTGTTTTCCCAACTAGCACCCGTTATGATACAATGTTTTCATACAAGGATGTAAACAACCGCCGAGAGTGGGTTGCCCACCTTCAAGCTGGAGCTGGAATTGTGGCCGACAGTGATCCCTCTGATGAGCAGAGAGAATGCGAGAATAAAGCTGCTGCACTTGCCCGTGCAATTGATCTTGCAGAGTCTTCATTTGTTGACAAATCGTAAACAAGATCCAGTAATAGCTGTGGATCTGTTATTTTTCTTGGTAGCTCCATTTCACTAGAAGGATTTAAGGATGCAGCTCAATATGGGGATAATCGGAGATTCTGAAGGCCAGAAAGAGACGTGGTGAAACACCGTTGTGCGCTTCAAGTCCATTTTCATGAGATGTGTAGTTAAGAACTTTCGTTTTGAATTTTGCCAGTGATAAACTTCTTTCTGGAAAGCTAGGAATTCCTTTTTGCTTCGTCTTTCTTTTCGATAGTCATATTTGTTAACGGTGATTTCTCGTCAACAAAAACAGGCCGGGTTACCTTGGGTTTCCCGTTGGATTACCGGTCCTAGTGTTGAATGTGTGTGAGAATTTGTTGGAGGGGTGTATTGTGGGTTAATGAAAGACGTGCACAAATAAAGAACACGAGAGATTTTATAGTAGTTTACTCTATAAAATTAGAGCTATATCCATTGTGGTTGTATATTTCTTTTGAAGAGATTACAATTTACATCAATTGCCCTTTCTCGTTCCTTTTTTCTCTCGGGTTCCAACCTCTTTTCTGTATGGGGTCTTGCCCTTTTTATATTGGGGGCTTCCTTCGCTGGGTTGATTTCCTTCGTAGGCAGAAGCACTCAAGTGCTCTCCCTTTCTAAGCCCAGACGTAGCCCACTAATCACTTGGAGTACTGTTCACTCAGCCAATTAGTCTTCTATTACGGCTCGGTGCGTTCCTGTAACCCTTTTCTGTCCCCTGTGGGGCGGTTTAAGGGTTCGCAATAAATGTATGCCTTGTAGTCATCCCCCACTTTTGTACGCAATTTGCCACGTCAGACTTTTCTCCAAAGAGCATTCCCTTCGTCGCTAGTGTTGCTTAACCCAACTGTCCTTCTTGGCTGTTGGTTCCACAGTCGAGGGATTTCTATGTCCTAAGTTCGACGGTACGATCTGTCGACGCCAGAAGGAATCGACGCCCTAAGTTGGACTTTTCACTTGGGTTCTTTATAACGAAATCGGAGGGGGCCCCAGACGTCGAGGGTTGTTGCTTTACGGGGAGTAGTTAAGGCTACGTGTCATATTATCGTTCTTCCATGTGTCCTTCACATTTTCCCACACAACAGTTACCCCCAGGTCGAGGGTTCCTTTTAGGCGGCCTCGAGCTTAGGTTCGGTCGTACTTCCGTGCTTCGGGTGTGGGAAACCGGTCCCGAGCCTTCGTCCGCAATGATGGCCTGGATGCTTTGGATTTCCTTGAGGGACGCAACCGTCGCGTCAATCGATTTCTTGTGCTGACGTAAGGCTTTATTTCGAAAGGATGAATGTAAGCCTTCGGATCGCGACTCTTTCTTTTCCCGCCCTTATTTGTCATCGTCAGATCTGGGCGGGATTTTAAGAACTTCATCCAACGGTCAGGGGTCGATGACTTTTGTCACCTTAAATACCTTCTTTGAACCCAAAATCATTTTTTCTTCAAAACACAAACACTCCCCGCATTCACTGAGCTGCCGCTTGCTCTGCCGGAATCTTTTTCTGCAAAACACTGACTTGTTTTTCCAGGCGTGTTGTGAAGCCGTATTTAATCCCAGATTCTACCCAGAAATCTTCATACCGGTAAGTCCCGTCATCCTCTGATTGTTCTGTTTCTCACGGGTTTCTCCCTATTGAATCATGTATGTATGAAAATACGTGGAATGTAGAGGTTAGGGAGACTTACTCCATTTTATTTTTCCGCGTAGGATAGTTCTTTTTCTGTCTTTTGGTTGTCTACGCACTTTTGGTTCCTGGGTTCTGGGGAACTCGGGGTACCATGAACACTCGCCGTTATCATTCTTACATGAATGGTCGACGTCAAGTCGAGGCGTTTGAGTAGTCGTCGTTTAGAATAGCCATCATTTTCTTCCTCTCGACGTTAGGGTTTTAACTCAGCTCCTTGTCTTTTTAATCACCAGAATAATGGCCCAAAACTCCCCCAGTCGAGAGGATCCCTTCGTTGTCCGTCCAGACTCCCCTTCTATGGTGGAGATCTCATGGTCATCTTCCTCGTCGGACTGCGACTCGCTGTTGCGGGAAGTCGAGGGGCATATGGCCGGCCCAGGCGACGACGGTAGTGATGCTTATGATAGCGTCTGCCAAATGATCGACGAAGACGTCGACAGGTGGCAGCGTGTGTGGCGTCGCCGCTTCTCTGGTGGATGCCCCGCTGGCTGCTACAAGTGGAGACCCGGATCGGCCTTCCTTCATAGCTGACACCGTGGCATCGAGGGTCCGGAATAAGTATATCATCCGGGCGGTGAAGGAAGGATGCATCGACGGGAAGTGGTTCGAATACCTCCTCCCAGACATGCATTTCAGGACTAGTATGCCCCCGACCGGATTCCTCCCTGTTTATACCAGGGCCATTACTGCGGGGATGACCCTTCCGGTTCATCCCTTCGTAAAGGATTATTGACACTTTTATGGCATTTTCCCCGCCTAACTGGCGCTAAATTTCTGGTACTGCTTCGCTGGCGTCTGGATCCTGTGGAACCAGCAGTTTGACATGGATCTTCCTCTTGATGAGTTTATATTCATGTACAGACTGTGCCATGTCGCCAAGTGCGAAGTGTGGTATTTTCTGAGCGGGCACGGGAGATCTCAACCCAGATTTGGCAAGCTAATTCTGGGCATTCTCTCGTCGTCACATGTGTGGAAACCCATGTTTTTTATGATACGCGGCCCCTTCAATTTTCATCCCGACGACCGCTTGCCCCGCCGAAGGAAGGTGCAGGCGTCGTTTGGGAACATGGGTGAGGCTTTGATTTCCTTCCTTTCACCTTACTTTGCTTTCTCCTTTCTTACGCTGTCAGCCTTTTTATCTTTCAGTCAGTCAGGACCGGCCGAAGTTCTCTGGGAACATCTTGGCGAGGATCGAGAAGGCCTTTTCGTTCTCGTCCGAGGTTCGTCATATTGACACCCTCCTGACCCAGGCCAATCTTCGAAGTGCCGGGTTAATCCTTGATCTCCCAGACCTCGCTGATTTAGACGCCATCCGCAAATACTTTCATTTAAGCGACGAAGGTAATTTCTGCTTTCGACGCCCTTCTTTATCACGGCTTTCGTTTTCCAAACGCTAACTATATCTTTGTCTCGTCGTATCTGTAGAAATGGCATCTTTGAGGATCCAGCTTCCCGGCAGTCAGTCGTCCGAGCCAAGCCAGTAGCCCCCGCCGAGCCAACAACCTCCTTCTAAGGGAAAGGAGAAAGCCAGCTCTTCTTCTCAGGTGCCGAGGAAAAGGAAAAACGCAAGGGTCCCCTCGACGTCGGAGGAGGATCCTACGCTAAAAAAGAGGCGCAAAGAGAAAACGCCGGTGGTAGAAACTTGGACGCCGACGGTTCCCATTCCTGACGTGGACGTTCCTCTGGCGCCGAGGGAACGCGTGCTCATCCCGGGGACAAAAATCATGGATCCCAAGTTCCAAGTCCCGGACATTTCTGACGCCGAGATTGGGGCGATGCTGAAACTTCCCCCCGCTTCTCCCTTGCCTTCTAGGCTCTGTATGAGTCTTTTCTCGAACCATACTGGGTTGCTGCCACTCAACCTTCTTTGGTTGATCGCCAGCGAAAGCAGATCTCCTTCCAAATTCACGTAAGACTTAATCGAGCCGTCTTTCATTTTTGCTTGTTTCGCCGCTTTGCATCCTTATTTTCTGACCTCCAATTTGTCAGGGCCTAATCCTCGCCATTCTCAATCTCCTCGACCTAGTTAAGGATGAGGAGCGTGATAAGGAGATGGACATTGTAGAGGCCAAGCTTAACTCTCTTGTCGATGACGCTAAGAAAAAGTGCGCAGATGCCGTTGAGGAGAAAGACCTGGCCGTGGCCAAACTGTCGAGCTTGGAAGGTGAACTGGCCAAGTTGACTGCTTCGGTCGAGGAGCTTACGAAGCGGGCAAACCTGTCCGATGCAAAGTTAGCCGAAGCAGCTGAGGCGGTGAAAAAATGTTTTGCCGAAGGGAAGGCCGAGGGAAAGAAGGAAGCCGAAGCCGAGGCTGCAGCTACTTTCGACGCCAAGCGTGCTGAAATTATTGAGGAGTTCAAGGCTTCTCCGGAGCTCATCGACATCCGTACCAAGGATTTTCAATCCGCGGGTCAACAGATTGTTGATTTGATAAAAAATGAGCATCCTGAGTAGGACTTGAGCTTCCTCTATACTTCTCCTCCTCCTGTTAGCGACGACAACCTTTCCCCGCCTGGTGATGGCGATGAATCGGCGGCTGGCGGCGAGGCCTAAGAAATTTTTACCTTTCTCTCTCTTTTTTTTTTTTTTTTTTTTAGTGTTTGTAACTTGATATTGATTTGGACATCTTTATATTTCATCTGTACTTTTTATAAAGATAGCGGATTTTATTCGTACCTTACTTTGCAATCGTTGCCTTAGAAAATTCCTTAAAATTTTTGCTGAGTGTTTGGAGGATTTGATGCCAATTTCACCCATTGGGGTCGTCGCCTTAGAAAATTTCTTAGAATTTTGCTGAGTGTTCGTCTTTCCTCCTTGGAGGATTTGGCACCGATTTCACCCCTTGGGGTCGTCGCCTTAGAAAACTCCTTAGAATTTTGCTAAGTGTTCGTCTTTCCTCCTTGGAGGATTTGGCGCCGATTTCACCCCTTGGGGTCATCGTGTCATTTTTTAGCGATCCGTAGACCTTTGTCCCCCCATGTCTGTTTAATATACCTTAGTTTTTTTAAGCAGACACGTTATTAAAGGGTGAATTCATTTCCTTCTGCAAACATATCAATTTATTTAATTCGTAAAAAATGTACAATTGGGATGCGGAAGAATTACATACACTATTGGTAGTACAACCTTAGCAATTCTGCATTCCATGGGTGTTGAATTCTTTTGCCGCCGAGACTTTTCAAAATGTAGGTGCCAGGACGCAACGCTTCCTTTATGCGGTAGGGCCCTTCCCAAGTTGGGCCCAGTGGACTAGTATTTTTGGGTTTTGTACTCTGTGTTACCCTTTTTAATACTAGATCTCCTGGGGCGAACCTTATTTGTCGAACTCTCTTGTTGTAATATCGTGCTGCTCTTTGCTGATAGGCGGCGAGGCATAGTTGGGAGTCGAGCCTCTTTTCTTGCAACAAGTCGAGTTCTCCGTTCATGCCTTCTGTGTTGTCGTCGTCATTGTGGACGACGGTTCTTAAGGTCGGCGTTTCAATTTCTACAGGAAGCACTGCCTCGACGCCATACGTCATGGAGAAATGTGTTTCACCCGTAGTAGTTCGGCTCGTCATTCTGTATGCCCATAAGACCTTGGGGGTTCCTCGGCCCACTTTCCTTTTAGATCGTCGAGTCTCTTTTTAAGGGTATACTTTAATATTTTATTAACCGCCTCGACTTGTCCATTAGATTGTGGATGGATTGGCTCCGAGAAGTCTTTTCGATTGCCCAAACTGTTGCAGAATCTGCGTGTTGAGGCATTGTCGAACTGTTTTCCGTTGTCAGATACTATTGAGTGGGGAACCCCGAACCTGCACACAATGTTGTCCCACATGAATTTGGTGCAGGCTGCTTCTGTGGTCGTAGTTAAAGCCTTTGCCTCTGCCCATTTCGTGTAGTAGTTTACCGTGACGATGACAAACTTAAAGCCTCCAGGTGCAAGGTGTAGTGGCCTGATCAGGTTAACCCCCCATTTGGCGAAGGGCCATGGACTGAGAATGGAGGTTAAATTTTCTGGGGGTGCTCAAGGAATTGTGGCATACCTCTGGCATTTATCGCAATGTCGGGCGTATTGGAAAGCGTCCTTTTTGAGCGTGGGCCAGTAGTATCCTTGCCTTAAAACCTTAAGAACTAAAGACTACCTCCCAGTATGATTACCACATACTCTTTCATGGATTTATCGGATGAACTTCTGGGCTTCGGCATCATCCAGACACCGCTGTAGAGGTGTTGAGTAGCCTCGTCAGTAAAATAAGCCATCGTACTATAAGTATCTAGCAGCTCTATATCTGATCCGTCTGGCTTCGTCTTTATTGCTTGGCAGTTGTGCGTCCATTAGGTATTGGATGAGTGGCTTCATCGAATTTTCATCTGTTTGGACGATTAATGCCTTAGCTTTTTCCTCAATGGTCGGCCGCTCCAATTCTTCGATGGGAACGACCCCTAGTGTGTCAGCCTTTGCCTCCGCCTATTTCGTGTAGCAGTCTACCGCGACGATGGCAAACTTAAAGCCTCCAGGTGCAAGGTGTAGTGGCCCGATCAAGTCAACCCCCCATTTAGCGAAGGGCCATGGACTGAGAATGGAGGTTAAATTTTCTGGGGGTGCTCGAGGAATTGTGGCATACCTCTGGCATTTATCGCAACGTCAGGCGTATTGGAAAGCGTCCTTTTTTAGCGTGGGCCAATAGTATCCTTCCCTCAAAACCTTAAGAGCTAAAGACTGTCCCCCAGTATGATTACCGCAGACTCCTTCATGGATTTCTCGGAGGACCTTCTGGGCTTCGGCATCATCTAGGCACCGCTATAGAGGTGTTGAGTAGCCTCGTTGGTAAAGCAAGCCATCGTACAATAAGTATCTAGCAGCTCGGTATCTGATCCGTCTGGCTTCGTCTTTATTGCTTGGCAATTGTGCGTCCATTAGGTATTGGATGAGTGGCGTCATCCAATTTTCATCTGTTTGGACGATTAATGCCTTAGCTTTTTCCTCAATGGTCGACCACTCTAATTCTTCGATGGGAACGACCCCTAGTGTGTCAGAATCTTTCGAAGATGCTAGCTTTGCTAGAGCGTCGGTGTTTGCGTTTTCGGCTCGTGGTATCTGAAGTATCTCGTAGTTTTTAAACTTGACGAGTTCTTCATTTACCTTTCTCAAGTATGCTTTCATTTTCTCGCCGCGCGCTTGGTATTCTTCTTTCACTTGCCTGACGACCAATTGAGAATCGCTGAAGACGCTGAGCCTCTCGATCTTTAGGTGGCTGGCCAATCGTAACCCCGCAATTAGCGCATCGTATTCTGCCTCATTGTTCGATGCCTTGAATTTAAATCGAACCACCGAGGTAATCTTGTGGCTTTCTGGGCTGATTAACAAGACGCCGGCTCCTGACCCGTTATCGCTCGACGCTCCATCTACGTAGAGCTTCCATTATGTATTCTCGACTCCTTCAGGTGCGGCAAGAGCCGGTCTATGGGAGAACTCGGCTAGAAAATCAGCCAGCGCCTAGCCCTTGATCGCAGTCCTTGGCACCTATTTAATGTCGAATTGGCTTAATTCTACCGACCATTTGAGAAGTCACCCGGAAGTTTCGAGCTTTTGTAGAGCCTGTCTCAACGTGTGGTTTGTAAGGACTCGTATTGTGTGGGATTGGAAATAGTGCCGAAGCTTCCTTGAAGCTACCATTAGGGCGAGGGCCAAGCGTTCCATTTCGCTATATCTCGATTCGACGTCGATGAGCCTTTTGCTCATGTAGTAGATTGGCAATTGCACCCTTTCTTCTTCTCTTATTAATACGGAGCTTACAGCGTATTAGGACACGGAGAGGTATAGGCTAAGCTCTTCGTCGGGGTTTGGTTTTGACAAAATTGGGGGCTTGCCCAAATGTTCCTTCAATTTCTGGAAGGCCTCTTCACATTGCGGTGTCCACTCAAAGCGCCTGCTTCCTTTTAAAGCGTCGAAGAAGGGGACGCATTTGTCTGTTGCTTTTGATATAAACCTGTTTAGGGTGGCGACACATCCTGTCAACATTTGCACTTCTTTTGGCTTAGTTGGGGACCACATATCCTGTAGGGCTTTAATCTTCTCAGGTTTAGCTTATATCCCTCGGTTGCTGACCATAAAACTGAGGAATTTCCCCGACCCGACCCCAAAGGCACATTTCTGGGGATTTAGTTTCATGTGGTATTTTCTCAATACACCAAACATTTCACCCAGATGGTCGACGTGCTGGCTGGCCCTGGCACTTTTCACAAGCATATCGTCGACGTAAACTTCCATTGTTTTGCCGAGCTGTTGAGTGAACATCTTATTCACGAGCCTCTAGTAGGTAGCCCCTGTATTCTTCAGGCCAAAAGGCATCACCTTGTAGCAGTAGAGGCCCCTATCAGTTATGAAGGATGTGTGCTCCTCGTCGGCTGGAAGCATGGGGATCTGGTTGTATCCGGAGTAGGCGTCCATAAAACTCAGCATCTCATGTCCCGCTGTGGCGTCGACCATCTGGTCTATTCGAGGGAGTGGAAAGCCATCCTTTGGGCAGGCTTTGTTGAGATCGCTGAAGTCGACGCATGTTCTCCAGTTTCTGTTAGGCTTGATCACCAGAACGGGGTTTGAGACCCAACGTGGGTAATGGGCCTCCCTGATGAACCCATTGTTGATCAGCTTGTCGACCTCCTCTTTCAGCGCTTCTTACCTCTCAGGGTTCATTGGTCGACGCTTCTGGCACTTGGGAGGATATGAGGGGTCGACGTTTAGGGAGTGACATATAACCTCGGCGTCGATCCCTTCCATGTCAGCATGATTCCAGGCAAAGACATCTAAGTTTTTTCTGAGGAAGTTTTCGATCTCGACCTTAAGTGACGGGGCTAGGTCCGAGCCTATTTTTAGTACTTTGGTTGGCTCGCCTTCATCAACTTGAATTTCCACCAATTGCTCGATGGGTTAGGACCATGTGACCTCCTCTTGAACCCTGGGGTCTATGTCTTCGACGGTGTTTTGATAGACCATCCTAGTTTCCTGTCTCCCTGGCTGGTCGTATCCGTGCAGGGCATCGGAGTATGCAACCCTAGCCTCATACGGGTTGCTCTTCATTTCACTTACGCCGTTTGGGGTAGGAAACTTGACCTTCTGGTGGTAGACGGAGGTTATTGCCCTTAGCGCCTGAAGGGTTGGTCTCCCGATTACAGCGTTGTACTGGGAGCCTCCCTTTATTACCACAAAGTTGGCCATTATCGTAGTCTGTCGGGGTTTTTCTCCTGCGATAATGGGCAGCCGGATAGTCCCCTGAGGGATGACGGAGTCCTCGGTGAAACCGTATAATGGCCTGGAGGTCTTTTCCAACTGCTCCTTTCGGATCCCCATTTTTTCCAAGCAGTCGGAGTATAGGAGGTCCACCGAACTCCCATTGTCTACCAGGATTCGGCACACAGTGTGGTTCCCAATCATGGCTTCCACCACCAATGCGTCGTTGTGGGGGAAGTGAACTCTGCTGGCGTCGTCCTCATTAAAGGCCACGTCGGTGTGGCTATATCTTGGGGTTTTTGCAGCGGAGACGCTCCAGAACCTTTCTTGGTAAACCTCATTGGCCTCGTGAGCGTAGTCCTTCTGAGACCTCCTTGAGTCTCCTCCTATATAGGGGCCGCTGAGACGGTTCGTATGACGCTGACGAGTTCTCGGTCCTCTGGGCGCTAGTTCTCCTCTAGGCGTCGACCGTCATTCTGTCCACCGTGGCCGTCGTTTCGAGGTCTCCACTCGGCTCTGAACTCCTGTAGCCTCCCCTCGCGGATTACTCTCTCGATTTCATCCTTAAGGTCGGCGCAATCGTTGGTGTGGTGGCCGACATCGCCGTGGAACCTACAGAATTTCTTTTGGTTCCTCCGGCTGGGATCCGATTTCATCGGTTCTGGTCGGCGTAGCAGGTTTCCGCGGCCGACCTGGTTGAAAACCTCCTCGACTCCTACCGTTAGCTCGTGGTAGGAATCGTACTTTTGAAACAGTCGAGGCTTACGGGCATCCTCTTGCCTTGGCTTCTTGGCTTTTGGAGCGCTCGTCGTTGCAGCTGGCTGCTTGTCTCCGCTTCCTCCACTTCGACGCTTCTTCCCGTCCTGCTTTGCTGGCATCGACCCCTGCTCGGTCCCTTTATTCTTGTTGGACCTATGCTCGGGGTCATTTGCGTCTGCCTCTTCGGCGTTGATGTACCCTTGCGCTCGCGCAAGGAATTCCTTGTAGCTGGATAGGGGTTTTCGGTTTAGCTCTCTCTTGGAGGGGGTAATTTTCTTCATGCTAGATAATGCCCCCATCAAGGCCTCTCTGTCTGTTATATCCATCGTGGCGGCGACAGCTTCCCCATATCTTGCAAGCCATTCCCTTAATGACTCGTTCGACTTTTGATATATAGCCGTCAGATTTTGCTTCGGGGGGACGTATTTTTTAACCCCTATGAATTGGAGGGAAAATGCTTCCTTCAACTCATCCCAGCTTGAGATAGAATTTGGCCTCAGCGTCCGAAACCATCTTCAGGCAGAATCCGTTAAATGGTTCTGAAAAGCTCGGCACATGATTTCCTCAGCATACCCGTGTAAGAGCATGTGTCCTGTGTACATCTCCAAATGATCGTCGGGATCCCTTCGACCATCATATGGTGGGATCGACGGTGACCTATATTTGTCGGGGAGAGGGGGCGCCATTATTTCTGCGGAAAATGGATGGTCATGTGTGCGGCTAGGTGTGATGTCGACGTTTACCACCTCAGACACTCGCCCTATGTTCTTTTTCAGGCTTGCCACATCCCCTGTGAGTTTTTGCTCCAAGCTGGCCATATGTTCCATGATGGCGCGCGCTTCTTCTGTTGAGATGGCCGAGCCAGCTACCCTCGACACCTCTGCCCTTTGAACGTTGGGTCCGCTCCTTGCCTGGCCGCCCGCCTGTACCGACCCTGAGTCTCTTGGTGGGTTTCCCCCTGGGTTCTGGGGTAGTACCTCAGGATTTCTCGGGCCTCTTGGTATCCGATCCTCGGGAGCCCGGAGTCTGGCGGCCCTTAAACGGCTGCCGGAGGATTGGGAAGGTCGAGGCCTAGGAGGGCCCCAATGATTCTCGCTGTCCCCGGTTCCCTCTTAGATATGTGGGTGGTCACCGGGGTTTGGGTTTTCAGCCATGGCGCGGCCTCAGGGCGTCTTCTAATGGCAGCATAGAGTTCTTTCCATCCAAGCGCTCAACCACGGTCATTAGCCCACGTACTAGCTCGGTTAGAGTGGTTAGTTGGGCATGCATCTGCACAAGATCCGGCCGTGGCGCGTCTGGGAGTGGGACTTCGTTTCCGACAGGGCGTGGATCTTCTTCCATCCCGTTATTCCCTGGATGGGTGGCGGTTTCGTCCGTCTGGCTGCCTCGGTTAATGGCCTCAATTCTCTTTCTTAGAGGCGTGCTTGCTAACTATGTTGTTGGGGGTCAAACGCTTTCGGTCCCCAGTGGAGTCACAAATTGTTGACGGTGATTTCTCGTTAACAAAAACAAGCCGGGTTACCTCTGGGTTTCCTGTTGGATTACCGGCCTTAGTGTTGAATGTGTGTGAGAATTTGTTGGAGGGGTGTATTGTGGGTTAATGAAAGACATGCACAAATAAAGAACACAAGAGATTTTATAGTGGTTCACTTTATAAAATCAGAGCTACATCCACTGTGGTTGTATATTTCTTATGAAGGGATTACAATTTACATCAATTGCTCTTTCTCGTTCCTTTTTTCTCTCGGGTTCCAACCCCTTTCCTGTATGGGGTCTTGCCCTTTTTATATTGGGGGCTTCCTTCGCTGGGTTGATTTCCTTCGTAGGCAGAAGCACTTAAGTGCTCTCCCTTTCTAGGCCCAGATGTAGCCCACTAATCACTTGGAGTACTGTTCACTCAGCCAATTAGTCTTCTATTACGGCTTTGTGCGTTCCTGTAACCCTTTTCTGTCCCTTGTGGGGCGGTTTAAGGGTTCGCAATAAATGCCTGCCTTGCAGTCATCCCCCACTTTTGTACGCAATTTGCCACGTCAGACTTTTTCCCAAAGAGCATTCCCCTCGTCGCCAGTGTTGCTTAACCCAACTGTCCTTCTTGGTTGTTGGTTCCACAGTCGAGGGATTTCTATGTCCTAAGGTCGACGGTACGATCTGTCGACGCCAGAAGGAATTGACGCCCTAAGTTGGACTTTTCACTTGGGTTCTTTATAACGGAATCGGAGGGGGCCCCAGACGTCGAGGGTTGTTGCTTTGCAGGGAGTAATTAAGGATACGTGTCATATTATCGTTCTTCCAAGTGTCCTTCATATTTTCCCACACAACAATATTTATTTCCCTTTTTTGTTGTTATATGAAGTTATAAATAATGGCAATGCTTTAGCACGTTTGTTTCATAAATTTGAACTACTATTTAAACTTTTTTGCTACAGCAGTTTTAGTTCAATACCTTAGTACTTTGTAATGGCAAAATCTGCAATGTCATACCCAGGTTCATTATTCATGGACTTTTTTTTTTTTAATTTTCAGTTGCAAGAATCATTAGATTTCTAGAAGTGAAAACAAAACAAAAATAAAAAACAAAAACAATAGGGTAAGTATTAGGAAAAGTTAATATTTTATGTTTAATTACTTTTATTGGTAGTTTAAATTTATTTGTATCAAGTTTCATATTAGGAAAGCTCTTTATTTTAGGAGATTTAATAGTATTAAGTACTTATCTAATTTGTTATTGTAATTTTTATCTATGTAGAGTCTATCCCTAATGCTCGTTACTGGTGAAATTTATGTAGAATATTGTCGAACTATGTTAAATCTCTATCTCATCGTCTCTTTTTTATTTTCCTTTTTAATCTTTATTATGGTATCGATTCATACTCTCTTGTAGTCTTTTATCCACCATTGTTGGAGTCTTTTGTATCCATGTGTTGTTGCACTCTACAACTCTTCTTCCTTTTATTTTCTTTACTAGTCATATCATCCCCACAAGCGATACCCTAATGGCTCCTAAAAAAGGCCCACCACCACTCCCTCCTCTTCAAGGTTGAATGACATTCTTCATTGCTTTATTGCTCAAATGAGCAGCACCTTAATACCCAACGATTGTCGCTCCATCCCTGCACCCTTGACAATTATCCCTTTTCCCTGCGTCTCTGTGGCCCTAACGATTGAAGTCTCTTCCTCGCGCCCTCAACATTGCAATCCGTTCCCGGTGTCCATGCACCCTACTCGCATTGCCGCTCTACGTTCCCACGCCACTTGTTCCCGCTCTTGCACACCGTACCACATTACCATCATTAAGACTCCCTCCGAATATGGTACGATATTAGAATTTCTTATGGGAGTTCATCTTGCGGGAGCATATAGAGAAAGATAATATTTATTATTTAAAATATAGTTGTTTTTATTAGTAGTTTGAATTTATTTGTATTAATATGCATACTAGGAAAACTTTTGATTTCAATACCCTAAACTTTTGATTTCAGAACAACAAAAATAGGTTTTGTGAAGGGACTTTGTTCTCTATTTATAGATGCGGAATGAACTGGGTTGTTAGAGAGACAGAGAATATCGTTCTTAGTCTGATTTACTTTTGCGCCCCTGAATGGTGTGCAGGAAATTACCTATTTTTGCTGTTCTTGCTTTTTCCTCAAGCCCAAACACTAAGAACAAATAAAAAATATCCTTTTTTTTCCAGGAATTAAAAAAATCAAGTTAAAAAAATAATGATAATAATAATTAACACAATTGGTCCCTAATCTTTTAAGTTTCTTGCAAATTGATCCTTAATCTTTTAGTTTAAGTAAATCATTCCCTCATCTCTTAATTTATTATAGTTTTGGCCTACTTGGCAATGAGCGTCCAAAAATTTGTTTTCTAGAAATGCATGTTTGCTACTGTGGCAGGTTGTTTAGGACAACATAGAAATCACACTTGGAAAGGGTGGACAATTGATTAACAAGTACTATACGTGTACAGATACTAATCTTCTTTTCTTATGTTGATTTCCCCTAAAATCTTCCGGATAATTTTTCCCCAATTCTCTTTTTATGAACCTATTTTTTCACCCCAAATCCCTTTTATTTTCTCCCTAGTTGGTTATTCCATCCAAAATATCCTACAAACTAACCTTTATTACAGTCAATTTTAGATGCCCCTCATCAATTTGGCCAAATCTTCAGTAAATCTAGAGTCAATAACTGATTTACCAATATTAAAAGACTTGATCAATTTGTTAGAAGTTTAAAAGATACGAAATCAATGGCACTAATCACCTTTTGTTTTGAGGAGAAATAATAAATCTCAAAAGGCTTTTTTCTGAAATTTAAAGAGTAGGATTGTGTTTCTTTTTGCTAGAGAAAAAGGGGGATAGAGTTATCTTAAGGAGATTATATTTCTAATATATGAAAAAATAGCTTGTTAATAAGACGGCTTTTACTTTGAAAAATTTTACAACTTATTTTTCGAATTTATATCTTTTTCATTATCGCTAAATTTAGAAAACGGATATATGCTATCCCTAAACTTCAAAACAAAACAAAAAAAAACAAAAAATTTTTTTTTTTTTTAGAGAATAAACTTCAAAATTCTAACAACGTTTCCGTTAAAAAAAAAAAAAAAAAAAAAAATAGCAACGATGACTCCGTTGTCTATTAGATGGAAGAAAAGCTTACATGACACCATTTCATTGCTAAGATATAAGCACATCCCCATTTCATCGCTCAAATGGACGAAAAAACTAACATCAAACTCAAAATATTGAAAACCTGAAATATTAATGTGCATGTTTATTTGTGTGACTCTAAATATTATATATAAGAAGATAATATTTAAAGATAATGATTGACATATATCCTTAATAAACCAAAAACTCTTGTATATATAACCTACCTTTAAAACAAAATACACAAACACACACACACATACACACACTCGTACTGTTTTAATAATCCTCAAAGCAAATTCTTCCATTTCTTCATTGAAATCATACTTTCTTTCCTACTTATAACAAAGCCTATCAAACGCCAGATAAAACTTCTGATTCAAACCATACTTTTCCCGTAAAATCCTCTTGTTTCAGGGGTTATTATTTTTAATTGTCATCATTAGGAATTAATTTTTCTCAAAAGCTGTGGCATATTTTGTTTCTCTCTGTTGGAGGATTCACTTTTCAATCTTATATATAGTGCTCTTATCTCACCCGGCTAAAATCTTGATTACAAATTCCTGTGCAAGGAGATACATGTAACGTGGTCGGCTACCAGCCTAGTGGGAAACCCTTGATATATAAATTACAAAAAAAAAAAACAAAAAACAAAAAAAAAGACAGTACCTATGTTTTTGAGCATAAACTTTATTACAGTTAATTCATCACGAAGAAATATATAATTCAAAGTATTTAACAAGGAACTGAAAAAAAACCAAAAACAAAAACAAAACGAAATAATATTCTTTTTTTTTTAAACCTAAAAAACCATTATTCTCAAGGGGACAAATTTGCAATGATTGCATCAATAAAGTACACGAGAGCTATGTGGAAAGGTGCTCCACTAAAAATTTGCACCTGTGTAAGAGTGTAAGAATATAAGCAATTCCTGTGGCTGTTCAAACACTCAATTCACGTATCTATATAATCTGCAGATTGGATAGCTATTACAAGCTCCTTCAAATTAGCTAGTACATGTCGTGGTCCTAAACTCTTGGCACCAATGAAATTCAAAAGCTGCTCTAAATCCTACAGAGAGAATAGGGGGACAAAAAACGTTAAGCTCATTGAGATGAAAGACGTGCATGTATATTCATAATCCAATTCACCGAATACAACCCCCAAGAGAACACATCATAAGACTAGATGGTCTTCAAAATGATTTCATTTTTCTCTTTCTTTCTTTTCTTTTTTTTTTTTTTTTAAATACGCTTAAGATCAGAAACTGACCAACAAATGTTAAAAGAGTGGTGGCAATTTGGGTTCAACATGACAACATGACTTGAACTCGACCCAAATGGATGACATGAAATTGACTCGAATTGACTCAAGTTATTAATTTTTTTATTAAAAAAATAGAAATAAACAATCTTTTATTTTCAACATATTTAATAAAAATACAATGAAAAATATTAGATTTGTGGCCCAGATTTACAAAGTAGAGTATCGATAAATGGATTGAGTATGTAAATTAACAATCAAATTGTTTATATCAGTCGTGGCAGTACGGATCTAAGAGAAGTTTTCACTAAATGAATGACACACAGGTCAACTCAAAACGACATGAAAATTTGGGTCAACAAGAACACGACCAAAGTTGCCACCCCCATATGCACATGCTGCTTGAAAATGGCAAAAGAATAAATTGAAGAAACATTATTAAGTATCTACACCCAAAAAAAGGGGAGAAAGTGAAAATTATACGTAAAGAAGCATGAAGTTTGAAGTGTACCTTGTTCAGTAAGAATACAGCATAAGCAGCTCTCGTTGTGTCTTGACCATCCAAATAAAGGGGGAATTCCATGTGCTTCAATTTTGTGGATTGAGATGTATTTGATGACATATCGGACGGTGAAGGCTCTATTGATGGTGCATAATCAATAATATGTGAACGAGATCCACCCAGGTGCACAGGGTAACGTAATGGAACTTTCAAGTACAAAGCAATAAGTGAAACTGCCTGCAGTAAGTTTGAGAAAATACAACGCATCAAGAAGAGTAAAAACGATTGGTGTCTGTGCTAATGAACAACAAAACAGAGGCCTCTTATCAAACAAAAAAGAACAACAGGGGGGAAAAAGAACAAATTTCTAAATTTCAGTAATCAGTGGCGTGTAATGCAAAGAAATTCTCACAATTTGCTTATGATATAATATGAAGGATCAGTAATTTATAATTTGATTCAAATACGAGGATCCAGATTACAGATAGATGGAAGAATCAGAAAAGAATAATATATGATCATACAAGATTCGAGGAACAAAGAAGGCAGTAATTGATAGCTTTATTTAAAGAGGGAAAGAACGCACGTGAGCAACATATCCCAGAGCACTTGACGACTTTTGAGCCTCCTTCTTGTCTGTGAAAAGACTCATCGTTTTAAAAGGAAGCATGGTCAGATGTAGACCCAAAATTGTCAAGGATCCTGGATTGACGGGCTTCGATCCGGCAAAATTGCCTGGTAAAGAATGGGAAGTAATTCTTGGATTAAAAAATCAAGACAGCATATTATAAAGGAACATAAAACTGAAACAAGCAAGAGAATCCAGTCTTTTATTTTTTATAAGAAAAGAGAGAATCCAGTCAATTTAAAATATGAGAATCCGTATCATAGACATGGTAACACAAAAATATCAAAGGCACAGAGGGAAATAAACACTCCTAGATGCATAAGACGCTCATTACAGATATTTATCCCTTCAACTACGGTGATGCTGATAGAGTCTTAACAAGTTAGGTGATACTTGTACTTTGAGTAAAGCAATCAAAGTTTTTAAAAGACGTCAAATTACATTTGAATTGAAGGAGGTTATATACCATCGAGAGGCATGCAGGATGGTTTTGCTTTCGCATATTAAGAACTTCCAGACATCCACAAGACAAAATTAATGAAAAGAAACTGAAACCAGAAAGCTAGAGGGAGGGAGGGTGTGACCAGGGGAAGACAAACAATGGAAAAGCCTAAAAGTGTCTAGAAACGCATCCAAAAGGTCAAATAAAAGAACATTCATCCAGACGTTTATGAATAAATTTCAACAATAAGCACTTCTTTTTATTTTTTTATTATTTTTATTTTTATTTTTATTTTTAACGACAGATGAACTAGCAAAACAACTCTATCTACATTTACTAACATTAGGTCCAACAATTCATTTGCATAACTAGAACAAAAAACATTTAATAGAGTGGAAAGGGGATAGAATCAGAATCACTGCAATGACTTAAATTAAGATTTTCTTCTTCTGCTTAGTAAAATTTGATGTAAAGTCCTTTTACAGTGTTGCTAGCTATTTTGTACATGCAAGATAAGTGGGATAGCTTTTACCTGATTTGCTACTGCTAGGAAATGATTCAAGCTCCTGTTCCTGTTTAGGTCCTGCAGAGATCTTTACAGGATACAGCAGTGAAAGTTGAGATACCATATACTGTTGTCTCATTCTTAGCATTTTCTGCAAATTTGGAAGACGAATGTACTCCTTCCCTCCAGGAAACACGTCGTTTGTTTCCTGTAATAAACACACATAATGCTTCCGCTCCACCAACATATATAAATTTAAATTGTACTACTAACCACTCAACTTGGATTAAAAAAATGTAACAAAGAAATATCAGAGCTTTATGAAAAAATAGACTGCATGATTGATTTTAAAATTTGGATGGAACACACCCAGTCATTACAATAGAAAATGTAAATTTGTAAAAAAAAATAGAAACAAGAGCAGGCCTTTATTTATGAAACATGAAGAAAATTAAAAAATAAAAAAAAAAACATAAAAAACTGCAAAATCAAAAATAAAAGCCACCCAATTGAGGTTTGTAAAAGGATGAGTAAAGATAAGAAAGATGAAATAAATAACTAAGAGTTGATAAGAAATAGCTATTACTTGCAAGCGCTTCCTAGCAACAGAAAGGGCTGCCCCATCAACCAATAGCGACCTAACTTGAACATTTAGCTCTTTCTCGTGCTCTTTAGCCTTCTCCGCAACAATCACATATTGCATCGACAAGTTTACCATCACCATTTTTCTAGCCTCCAGTTTCTCATGCATCTCCTCAAGCTCATTTAATCGGCTTAGTGACTCAGCTTCAACCTGCCGAACATGTTGCCGCCCGCTAATCCGCGGGCTAATCAATTAAGGCCCAAGAAATTTAGGAAAGAAAAAACATAAAGACTGAGTGCATCTATCAGCAAATATCTCACCCATATGCTTGACCAATAATTTATTTTGTGAACCACTAAATAAACTAAAAACTCCATCATACGTTTGGAAGCTACATGGATTGCAAAATAAAACTCTCTTGGTAATGTATCCAGAAAGAAATGAAAAAACTGAGAAAGCACATTCACCTTTTAAGCTGATTTCCAAAGGTTGAATTGTTTTCAAACATTATTTTATTGTAGAGGAGTAAGAAGAACTGTGCAAGTATTTTTCTATATAAATAAATTGAATTCAAATATGAGAAAGATAAAAGAAAAATCCACCTAGAAGCCATGTACTCAAAAGAATCAAAAACATCACATAGTATACAAAATTTGAGCCTGGACTCTGGAAGAAGTGTGAATTATGAAAGCAGCTTTTGAGTTACTTAGGCCTCGTTCGTTTCGCGGATTCGAGCTGAGATGTGACATTTTCTGAGAGCTTTTAACTGTAGAAACCTAGAACTGAAAACTCAAATCGGTCAAATGAACGAGGCCTTATATTTACCCATTGATGTTCTTCCGATTATTCATAACAAAAGCTATTACAATGTATACTTTTCACAATACAATATTTTCTACAATTATATCCATAAAACTACTCTTGGTTTTCCCTTAATTTAACAATTATAGTTAATACACGCACTTTACTTGCGAAAAGCATGCCTCAGCTTTGTTCTGCCTCTATTTGAGGGTCTTAAAGTATAGTAAATTATTTTCCTTTTCTGATTCAGTAACCGATGTAGGAAGACAATTTGAAAGCCAAAAGGTATCAAGTTATTAATTTGTAAGTTAATAGTTCATCATCTTTACAATATCTTGTTCAGACCGGGGATTAAGGATCCCCTTAACGGCATAAAGAACTACAAAAAAAATGAGAAATTAAATCCCATTCATACATACAATTTCTTCTCCAATGAATACAGCCAATTGGGAACAAAATCAAATCAATTATTCAGCAATTATCCTTCTGCAACAAAATTGGAATTCTCTCAGGCACTTAATCAGCAATTAAGCAGACAAAAAAAAAGGAAAACCTAGAAAATGCATAATTGAAAAGCAATTCAAATCCTGTTTCCACCTTCCACCATAACGTACATTTCTTCTCCAATGAATACAACAAAATTGAGAACAAAATCCAAAGACACAAAATTCAGCAATGCCCAAAACCCTACCTGAATGAGCGACTCGAGCTTCCTCTGAAGACTCCGTTTCTTCTCCTTAGTTTCGTTGAGAGCTGAAGAAAGACTGCAAAGCCTAGCGAGCTCTTGGTCGACAACTCCCCACTCTATAACATTCAAATTCTCCGGATCCATTTCCTTCTTCTCCGAAAAAATCTTCACTCGGTCTCCTTCTTCCATCGAGAATCTGAGAGAAATCACTGCTCTGGTGGTGGTGTGATCTCGTAGATGGCGCAGGGCTCGACCTCATCGTCATCCCTCCACTGACCGGTTAGGGTTTCAGGATCACTAAACCATTTCTGTTTCGGCAGAATCGGCACTTTCTTCCAGTATTTCAGGAAAATTTTGGAATTTTCTTGCGGAAAATTGATTCTGGAAAATTTTTGGATGGGAAATGAAACAAGGAGATTGTCTTATTTGGGGGGTAAACTCCAGAAATCCCAAGGGGAAATTGTTCTTAGTTCTTAACGGAGGGCGTTATTTACTTGCTAAACCATTTCTGTTTCGGCAGAATCGGCACTTTCTTCCAGTATTTCAGGAAAATTTTGGAATTTTCTTGCGGAAAATTGATTCTGGAAAATTTTTGGATGGGAAATGAAACAAGGAGATTGTCTTATTTGGGGGGTAAACTCCAGAAATCCCAAGGGGAAATTGTTCTTAGTTCTTAACGGAGGGCGTTATTTACTTGTTTTTTTTTTTTTTTCTTTTATTTCACAAGATACAAATGGTTCCAGATACAAAGGAACTCAACCTTGAATTAATGATTGAATCCGTCAATAAAAATTAAACTGGCACAAAGGTAAATATAAATATTAAGAGGGAAAGATCCGCTCGGTAAATAAATTTTAAACTTGATTATTACTCGTTAACACAATAATACAAGATTAGCTTAGTTGATTAAGACTAAACCCTACAAAACGAAAACAATCACACCATAACATATAGAGAATTCTAACCGAAAAACATACACCGCACCTTTTAAGGAAAATTTTTTAATGGGAAAGGAAATAAAGAGATTGTCTTATTTGATGGGTAAACTCCAAACACTGAAATCAAAAAGGGAAATTGTTGGGTGCGTTTGAAATTGATTCCAAAACGTTTTTATTTTCTGTACGAAAATAGAAATGAAAACGTTTTCATTTTCATTTTTGAATTATTTTTGAAAATGCGTTTGGTAGTTTTATTTAGAGATTGATTTCAGTTTTAAAAAAAAAAACTGAAATTGCGTTTGGTGGTTTAATTTTTAAAAACATGTAATAATATATTAAATAAATAATATTTATTAAATATATTAAATAAATAATATTATTAAATATATTAAATAATAATATATTAAATAAACATCATTATATATACATTATATATACATAACAGGAAGAATCCGGGGGGGCGCCTTCGTCTGCATCATGGGGCCGTCGGCCCCGGAGACGACGAGATGTGCTCCTTCATCTCCCGCATCTCTCTCTCTCTCTCCCGCCATTCTTCATCTCCTTCAGCCGGTGTTGATGGCGGTGTTCACGTGGGCGTAGTGACGGCGGCAGCGTCCGACGATTGACGATAGCCACCGAGCGACCGCATCTCCGGCGACGTCTCTCTTTGTCGTCCTTCATCTCCGGTGTCCTTCATCTCCGGTGTCGGTGTTGATGTCGGAGTGGGGGAGGGGGCTGTCGGGGGTGGTGGGCAGTGGAGAAGAGAGAGAAGAAAAAAAAATGAAAACTGTTTTCAGAAGAATGAAAACAAAAACGAGAAAACGGATTTTTTTCGTTTTCATTTTTTCAAAAAAAGACAAAAACGTTTTTGTTTTTGTTTTTTGAAAAGTTTTGTGCTAAACACGTTTTTAGAGTGTGTTTTCATTTTTTAGCTTCGAAAAACGTGAAAAATGAAAACGAAAATAAAAATAAACAGGCCCGTTTTGATTTCTTTAAATGAGAAATTTCATTTCACAAGACACAAAGAGCCCTAGATACAAAGGAATTTGACCCCGAAATAATTATTAAATCCACCAGTAAAATTTAAAATAGCACAAAAGTAAATATAAGTACCAAGACTTAAATGAGAAAAGACCCGCTCAATGTATAAACTTCGAGCTTGATTATTGCTCATTAAACAACACCAAAATAGGACTAGCCTAGTCGACTAAAACCAAACGCCATGTAATAGGACAATCACACTATGACATAGAGAGAACTTAGTTGGAAAACATACACCGCACCTTTTACAAACGGGTAGGGACACAAACAGAGGACATCGTCTCCGTTATTACCAAAACAAAAACATCAAAGTAAAAAAAAAAAAAAAACAAAAAACATACCAAAAAGGCGGAAACATCAACGCCTTTACTACAACTAAACAAACAAAAGATCCACCGGCAGCAAGCCGTGAGAAGTGGAACGGAAGCCAGATCTGAGTCGATCCATCCTAGAAGGACAATGGAGAACGGAACCATCGTCTCCCAGAGAATCTTGCAACCATGCATATCAACACACCATGACAGTGCAACCACCCGCCGAAGTCGCTGATCGGTAAATACCGTATTTACTTATAAATACCATGTTTATCTAAAAATCTGATCACTGACGTTGGCAACTAGTAAATATTGTATTTACTCGTAAATACGATATTTATCCAAAAGTTTGACCTCCGATGTCGGGATCGGTAAATATAGGGATGACAATTCGTGTTTACGTGTCGTGTTCGGGCCGACACGATTATAGTAAACACGAACACGGCACGATTAATAAATGTGTCAGAAACCTAAACACGAACAAGAACCGCTAATAACACAGTTCACATGACACGACACGCAAACACGATTACTAAACAGGCCGTGACAGGTCGACATGAAAAAAACACGTTTATGACCCAATTAGCAAAAATAGTGAAATTTTATATTGTATTCAAAACTAATATGAATTTACTACTTAATATCACTTATAGTTAAAACCATGCGAGCATATAATAAGAAAAACATAAATCCAGCCCATTTATTTTTATGTTATTCGTGTCGTGCCAGCCCATTTATAGTTAAAACCACTGACATTGGCAACGAGCATATAATAAGTATGCCATGCTAAATTTCATTCAAATATTTTATTTAATTATCAAAGTATTTAAAAATAACAACAACAAATATAAGTAAATGAATAATTTTTCTCCTTAAATAAAAATAATTTATTTTTAAAAATTATTTTAATTAATAAAATATAAAAAATATATTTTTTATATTATAAATATTAACCATAAATATAGAAATAAAACTAACTATAACATGTCTCATAAAGTATTTTGCTTCGTCATTCTACATTTTAATAGCATTTTTAAATTTCTACTTTTGGCACATGTAAATATTTACTAAACACCTATATACTTCTGATCACACTAATTTATTACAAATAATACAGTAACACTTAAAAATTGTAACAACACAACAATATCGCCTACAGTTAAAAAAAATCATATTTCAATAAAAAAAAAACTCTAAATTAGAAATTGAACATCATTTTTTAGAGAAAAAAAAATCAAACGTCCAAATCAGCAAAAAATAAATTAACAAACTCATAAAAAAAAAAAGCCAAAACCAAAATCACAATCTCAGATCCACACAAAATCACAATTTCAAATTTAGGGCTTGTTCTTTTGGAGTAAAACTCAAAAAATATTTGAACTCAAGTTACAACATTATTCAAGTTCATGTTCGTTTGTAAAATTTGAGTTTGAGCTTGAGTTTGGAGCTAAAATCTGAGTTCAAATTTCTCCTTCAACTCAAGTTCTTAAACTCAAACTTAAGTTAATGAACAATATTTTTTCTATTCTTCAAAACGTTAACTTTTTCGTTTTAATTCCGATTGAGAAGATTTTTTTTTATGCATTCATAACGAAGAGGCGAATAAAACTCCACCCATATACCCTATTAAAATTTTTCATCACTATTGAGTTTTTATTAAAATACTATCTAAATACAAATTTAAATTTTGACTCACTCAAATACAAACTCAAATTGATTCTCAATTCAAATCATAACTTAAATGTGCACATCCAAACACAAACTTAAGTTATAACTTCAACTCAAATTTAACTCAAGATCTATACTCAAATCACCATAATTCAAAAATACAACCCAACAGACCCTTAGGATCACAAACTATGGATTATTAGATTTATAAAATAAATAAATAAATAACAACTTCAGATGAAAATCAGATACTCAGAGACGTGACTTTTGCCTGCAAGGTGAAAGACAAAGAGCTGACAACGAATCTTGTCTTCTACGGAGATGATTGTGATGTCCACTTTCTTCTCCTGCACAAAATCGTGATCCCTCCCCTCAGTAAAGTGATGGCGACTTAAGCTGCAATCGCCGCGAGCAACATCCTCCATGATCGGTCAACGGTCCTCCTGAGGCCAACAATTGTCGATTCGTGACGATCTCCGCGGATTTTCATGATTCCTAGTGACCATGGAGAAATAGAGAGAGAGAAAGGAATCGATGGAGGTGTGCGAAAGGAAGAGTAATCAACAGAGGTGAGAGAGGGAGAGGACGGAGTTTAGAAAGAATCGAAGAGAGATAGGGAGAAGAACAGACGGAGGAGAGGGAGGGAAAGAACCAGAGAAAGAGATAAGCTGAGAGATAAACGTAAAAAAACGTAAAAAAACGTAAAAGGGAAAGCAAAAAATGAAAAGGAAAAAGAAAGAGGAAAAAAGAAAAATAAAAGGGTAAACTTAGAAAAGATAAAAAAAGTATTTAAAAGGAGAAGACAATATATGCTATAATTTACCGGGTTATAAGAAATATGTTATTTACTTCAAAATCATATATTAATTTTCTAAAAAAATATGTATTAAAAATTCTATTTAGTGGTTAAACAGTAGAGAACAATGCTCTCTCTCTCTCTCCTCTACATGACTAGGGTTTCTCCCTTTAAGAAACTATTGGTAAGTCTGCATTTTGTGGAGGCCAGAGTTGGTTGAGTCACCTCCTGGTAGTCTCTAGTAGAGTTGTAAGTTTAGGTTAGGTTAAACGGGTCGGCCCGAAACCCGCCACTATTACCCTGGGCCCGACCCCAAATTTTTTAGATTTAAGGCCGGGTTGGGCCGACCCTATCTTCTTTAGGGTCGGGCTGGCCCGGCCCAAACATCATATTTTAAAGATTTTTTAATAAGACCTTATAAAATTATGGGTCAGACCTAAATTTTTTAGGGTTAAGGCTGGACTGGGCCGCCTAGGTCGGTTTGACCCGGAAGAATTTCAAGGCGCCGACTGGACGACCCAAACTTACACTCTAGTCTCTAGCCTCTCGATCCTGTGTGGTTTTTGCTTTTCTTTTAGTTTTTTTTTTTGCCTTGTTTTCTAGGAGGGTGGTGCTTCTCCATAAGTAAGGTGGATCTTAGCAGATCTGAGTTTAGTTTTGCAATGTGGTTCGCCTTCCTCATGTTGTATGTTATAGTTGGGAAGGTCGCAAAGGTCACCGTGGTTGAGTTTATGCCATTAGAGGTGTGGGAAGTTTCCAATTTGGAGCCGTGTAAGGGGAAGATACTGCTATTTTTTAACCGTAGATCTAGAACGCGTCTGCCGTGGGATCCTACTAAAACCATGGAAACTAAGTTGAAAGAAAGAGGCGACAGAGCCTTTTCTCAGAGCCATTCTTACCAATCTTTGCATAATTTCAGCGTTGAGGGGCTCAATCTTGTTCGGTTGATCTTTTGGAATCGTTATAAATGCTTATAATTTTTTATGGTTTTTGTTAATGGTTTCTGTTGCAATAACGGTGATGGTTTCCCCATCTACTGGCGTTTTGTCTCAGTTAGAGGGTGGTCTTCCCATCACTCTATGCTTGTGGTGTATCTCTCAGATAAATGATAGTTTCCCTACCACTCTAAAACTTACTTGTGTGATTTGAGTCCATTGTCGGATTAGGGTGTGTCTCACTTTGAGTTATTTTTACGTGACTGAACCTTATTCTAATGTCACTTTGTGGAGGAATTCTCTACGTTTTTATAATAGAGATGCATTTATATTATCTAATTACGTAAGTGACACCTGTTTTTTTTTTTTTTAATTTTAGTGTTGTTTTCATATCCTAACCCTTGAGAGGATCTTTAATGAATATATTTTATTGTCCTAAAAAAAATCTATTTAGTGCATTTTCTCTTTTTCGTTCAACCAAACAAGAGTTAGGCCAGCCCTCTGTCCGCTAATAGAGGAGAAGAAGGGGCTTTTTTTGATTTCCAGAGAGAGAGAGAGAGAGATAAAAACACTCTTGTTCGAAGCTCATCAGCAATGGCGGGCGTGTCTCTGAAGTGCGGTGATTGCGGGGTCCTCCTGAGGTCCGTAGAGGAAGCCCAAGAGCACGCCGAGCTCACCTCCCACTCCAACTTCGCCGAGTCCACCGAAGCTGTCCTCAACCTCGTCTGCTCTTCTTGCGGCAAACCCTGCCGATCCAAGACTGTAACTTTTTTCCTCTCAATTTCAAGATTTGACCGTACTGGTTCATAGATTGAGGATTGTGTTGATAGAATATCGAATATTCTTTACTTGTTCCAATCGTTTTTTAGTAGAAAAAAAAGAAAATATTTTCCAATCGAAGAGCCTAAAATTCTCACACTCTGTTCTTATTTTCTTTTGATCTGAAAAGGCTTTTCGTATCTGTTGGATTTGCATTTCTGGAATTTTCCGTTATTTAAGCAATATCATGGGTTTATTCTCCTATGTGGTTTTAAGGTTTTTGGTCATTTGGTTTTTGGGTTGAGGATTGTAGGAACTTTAATAGCAATAATTTGGAAAAGTATGACAGTTTAGCATGAAGATTTGACGGTCTAGAATAATGTCTCAGTAAGTTTGTGTTATACGAGTATATATATATACATATATATGGATATGTGTATATATGTCTATTTTCTAAACGTTTTTAGTATTACACTATATAGGACATGATAAGAGATAAATTTCAACCGAGGCTAGCAAAGAGGATATCATTTTCAAGGGAAAAAGAAATTAAAGTTTGTTGGGATTGTCTAATCATTGGTGTTGTTTTACTTGGCTCTTAAACAAAGCTATTTTAATGAGTTTTGGCGCTTTGATTTGTTTGATCCTGAAGGAAAGTGATTTGCATACCAAAAGAACGGGCCATACTGAATTTGTTGACAAGACATCAGAGGCAACCAAGCTAATAAGTTTGGAGGTCCCAAAGGTGGCTGCTGCTGAGGGAGAAGGGGAAGTCGGTGCATGTATGAGCCAGTCGGAAGGTACTTTCCCAGTTTAGTATTCTTTATATGTTTTGCATGTGGTTTTAGACTGAAGGTTTTATTTTCTTGATTTGCTTCCTTTTTTTTTGTTTTTTTTTTTAAAAATTTGGGATTCATTTTATTTTACAAGTGGTTGGATGGAGTGGCCTAAGGTCTTTTCCAGTTTTATTCTTATATTTGGTTGAAAACATGTCCCGGTATGGACTTTTGTCAAAATTTCTTCAGTGCTGCTTTGGTTTATAACTTTTAATCAATTGTTTCTTTATTTTAGAAATGATTGTTCCGGAGGTTGACAAAAAGCTACTTGAGGAACTTGAAGCAATGGGTTTTCCAACTGCTCGAGCAACCCGTGCGCTTCACTATTCTGGTGAGCTCATTACACGTTTACATTATTATTGTATTCTCTCTGTTGCTTTTCACTTCTAGAGCATTATAGACACCAATGAATGATTCTTAGCCCTTAGAAAGTCAATTAGGTTTGTGGTTGAATCGTCCCTAGTGTTGCTATTCACAACCTCTTTGTGTATATTGAGGGTATAGGTTGGTTTTTATTTCCTGGTGAGAAACGAAACACAAATAATTTGTTTGGTTCAATGTCTTTTTGGATTGTTTTTACCTTTTGCTGCATTGAAGTTTATTGTTAGGATTAGTAAATATCAAGAATCTAGTGGTAGCCCGAGTTGTTGGCTAGTTTATTTTTTTTCCCCTTTAGGTATTATGTTCTCAAACATTATGGCAACTTTATATCCGACTATCCATATGATGGCAACTTTATATCCATCTATCCGTATGATTTTATTTGGTTATTATATCTACTTAACTGTATAATGTTATTGGATATTTTGGTTTTCAGGTAATGCCAGCTTGGAGGCTGCAATAAATTGGGTAGTGGAACACGAGAATGATGCTGATATTGATCAGATGCCTATGGTATGTATCTTCGTTTTGATGCTTCTTGTGCATTTGCATGTCTTCCCTTTGTCTTCTTAACACTTGAATTCACTTTGATCACTATCTAGTGGCGTTGTACAAAAACTAGTTAGGAGCAGAATGTGTTGGAAGTGGAATAGATAGGTTATGCATAAACTCTATAGTTCCATCAATTATACAATGCTGTGCGTGGATAAAATTTTTGGTAAAACAACTTACAGTTTGGTTAGTACCTTCTCGTGCATAGCCTATTTCTTATGCTTAATTGAAGGTTTTTTTAGACACTAATTCTTGACACTAGAGACAGTGCCAAATTTCCCTTGTTTCCATTTATTTTCTTAGAGTTGCAATGTCCAACACGAACAACAAAAACAACAACAACACAACAACAAATACAAGCCTTAATCCCAAATTAATTAGGGTCGACAATATGAATTTCTCGTTTTCAGTCTGCTCTATTAAGCACGAGACCCTCTTGAAGCCTTAGATCTTGAAAGTCGTGCCTAACTACTTCAGCCCAAGTAATTTTTGGTCTACCCCTCACTCTCCTAGTACTAGGTATTTGGATGTTCTCCCAAGCACAAACAGGTGCATCTAACGATCTAGATAGAAGGAGGAAGGTTGTGGTAGGTTGACAGCCAGCGTAAAAATATGTCACTCTACATGGATTTCTCATTTACAAACACGAACAACAAAAATATTTTAGTAAATGATCTCTTCATTTTTGGTCATTTTATTTTTATCTTATTGCTTTGTATAGATAGAAACATTGAGAGGTGGAGATCTAGATAGAAGTATTTGTGATATAAGGAGGGTGAATGCGAGGGACAATTTCATCAACAAGAGATAAAAGATAGAATAACAGAAACATAGGGGAGTAGACTTCGTCAAGAATGCATGTTTACTTGCTTCCATGTTTGTAGGTACCAGCCAATACCAAAGTTGAGGCTCCAAAACCTTCTCTTACACCAGAGCAAGTGAAAGGCAAACAACAAGAACTAAGGTATTTTCCATTAATTGCTGACTGCCACTGATTTGATGGTTGTGTATGCATGCAGTCTATTCTTGCTATTTTGTTATGCTTTTTATATCATGTATCATATTTCCTAATGTTTTATAGTCCCAATATTTGAGAAACGTAATACACATTTGAGGAAGGCGTACTTTATACTCATTGTGTTTTGCTATTGCATGACAATTCTTAACTCATTTTAAGGGAGAGGGCTCGCAAGAAGAAAGAAGAGGAAGAGAAGAGAATGGAAAGAGAAAGAGAAAAGGTACTTACTAATGTTCTAGTCTTTTTTCTTGTAGACAGAAGTAATGTTCTCAAGTTTTGCATGTCTCTGAGCATGCAGACCCTTATTCTAGGGTGTTCTCACTTTAAGGTAATTGTACTTTGAGGAATTAATAATCCAATCTAGACATGGCTTCTCGTTGGGACTTACCAATGTTATATACTTTGTTTTAGCTGGCAACCATTTAAAGTTTATGTTGCTTAAATTGATATAGAAATGATAAAAATTCCTAAGTATCAATTTTATCCACTTTCTTGACCTCAAGAAGATTCTATTTTGAAGCAATTTTGTGTTGCTTACCAATAGATATATGATAGTACCCTCTTGGTGGATGTTTGTTTAAAATTTCTCATTATAGAAGGTCTCCAGAGGCATTTGTGGTCTCTTTTCCAATTTTAATTTTACGAGTCTTTATGCCAACTGAATAACAGGGTTTTTTTTTCCTTGCAGGAGAGGATCCGAGTGGGAAAGGAACTTTTGGAAGCAAAGAGAATCGAGGAAGAAAATGAAAGAAAGCGGTAAAAATTATTTTCTTAATGTTTTTTGTTCTGTTCTACACGGATGGCATCAAAAGCCCTTTTTTACTCGCACTACTAAGAACACATTCATATATTGGGATGAAAATTTGTTTTTTCCCAACAGAATATTGGCCTTAAGGAAAGCTGAGAAAGAAGAAGAGAAAAGAGCAAGAGAAAAAATTCGTCAAAAGTTGGAAGAAGACAAGGTATAGATAATTAGCATCTTTGCTGGCTAAACATCAGTTTTATAGCCATATATTTCAAGAATTACTCTTCAGATGAATGTTGTCCAAGTGATCCGTTTTTGGGCATATTTCAAATTGTTGTCTTGTTTCGAAAGTACTTGTATTATTACAGTTAAACTATTTTACACTTGTACCCACTGAATTAATTATCATTCCTTTGATTATTCAATCAAAGCATTTGGGTAGGAAACATAGTCATACCAGTCTTTAGTAGTTGCCTGATATGTCTAAAGAGTTAAGTTGCCTTGTCAATTTATGCACACTGAATCTAAGATATTGGCATGGTCAGTGTCACTTCCTTTGCTTGTATAGGACTTCTAAGTTACCAGAAGTATAGATAATCAACCATATTATGTGTAGCGTTTTTGTAAATTATTCTCCCAGAATGAATTATAGCTATGTTCAATAATTTACAGTCTTTATCTTTCCTGTTCATTTTTCTTGTAGTTGAATCAATCAGTTTCATCTATTTGTCTTAACAGGCAGAAAGAAGGCGAAGACTTGGTTTGCCACCAGAAGAACCTTCAGCTCCAAAACCTTCTGCACCAGTTGTGGAAGAGAAAAAGGTATGGTAATGCATGCATGAGTTATCTGCCTATTTTAGTGTCAGTGACTCGAATTTAGGCATGAAGTCTTCTCTGTGTATCCAATCTGCAGAGTATATTGCCTGTTAGGCCTGCCACCAAAGTGGAGCAAATGAGAGAGTGTTTGCGTTCTCTCAAGCAGAATCACAAGGTAAAACTCACAAGGCATTTCTTGCTGTATGATATTGAACATCATATATATGCAAACTGCACGTTGGCGCTGCAGAAAGAATCATTTCATACTAGATTTCAGTAGTATCTTCGTTGTATAAAAGCTTTGCAACCCATGGCTGAGGAAGTAATGCAAAATCTTGCAACTTGAAAAATTAAGCTGAATAAATCGTATGTTATTGCATTAACCAAGGAGATGATCCAGTAAAGATTTAGTATTTATGAGAATATCGGATATGGAGTGACCTTGTGCTCATTCCCGTGGAACTAGGATGATGACGTGAGAGTGAAGAAAGCATTCCAGACACTCTTGACTTATATTGGGAATGTTGCCAGAAATCCTGACGAGGAGAAATTTAGAAAAATTAGACTCACCAACCCATCTTTTCAGGTAAAGAACCTTATGAAAATTCATGTGCAAGGCTCTCAATCTACATTTGGTTTATGGGAAATCAAAACCGGAATTTATGATGTGTTTTGCACGTTCATTTTGCTTATAGTAAAAATGTCAGAATACGGATCAAAGTCTGCTTATTTTTGTCATCTCATGCATTATATTGTCATATTTTTAGAACAAGCATTGATGTATTATTTCCGTTGAAACTTTTTCCTTACATCGACAGGGAGAAGTTCGTTTCATCAATTAAACTTCATGAGTTCTTTGTGTGGTCCGGAAAAAAAATGCACTATTGATGGTTCTAGTAGTTTTGTATATTTTTTATTTTTACTAGATTTGACATTCAAAAACACGCACTACCGATAAAGGTATTGATGTAGGGCTAGATAAAAGTATTAGAAGAGGGAGAAATAGAACCACTAGAGAGAGATAATAGAGAATTGAAGAGAACAACAAAAACCAAAGAGAACAATAACTTAAAGTGTAAGAGGAAGAAAACCAGAAATCTCAATATCCATTGATCAATCATCAGCTCTCTCCAATTGACAATAGCCAGATATTTATAAAATTAAAGCTAAACAAGAAGATAAACTTAACTAAAATAATCCTAAAATCAAAATTAAATACTAAAAATAAAATATTTGTTCCTAATAGGTAACCACACAAATTTAAATTCAAAATGTTAAACTTGTTCTTCATACAGTACTCTACTGTAGAAAGCTTCCAACCCTTATGTCCATTTGTTTGTTTGTTTGTTTTGTTTTGTTTGTTTTTTTGTTTTTTTGTTTTTTTCCAAACCCTATAAATCAATTTTAAACGCATTGATAATCACCCCTCTAGTTATTTTCTTTAAGTCTACCCTCTTCTGCTACTCTTGTTTGTTTTTGTCATCATGATTTCTTGCCCTTCAACAGGAGCGGGTCGGAGCACTGAAAGGAGGCATCGAGTTTCTTGAGCTTTGCGGGTTTGAGAAAATTGAAGGTGGCGAGTTTGTGTTTCTTCCCAGGGAAAAGGTTGACATCGCTGTTCTTCACTCTGCTGGGTCTGAGCTTGACTCTGCAATAAAGAACCCATTTTTTGGAGTTCTTTAAGCCAAAAATAGTTTCTCAATTTTAATTTGGGTGTTTAAACTTTCAATTACAGAAAATATGAAATTTTTGTTGTGTTTCCAAGTATAAAACCGGTTGCCTGATTTTGTTAATTATTTGGATGAGAATTGAGGTATCTTTAATTGTGATAAACTATTTATTCAATTTGAAATCACTAAACTGTGAAATAATGACATGGTTATAATAATGTGCTGCCGGTTCGCAATGGATACTTTAGTGGTAGGGGCAAAATTCTTGCTAGAAACATATTTTTACAAGGACAAAGTGCCACATAATGAACGTTTTAAGAGTATATATATGCTAAGAAAATTTATATTTATACTGTCCAGAATTAAACCTTTTAACAATTAGAGTTAGATGATACTATTTCATAGGATTACGGAATAATTTATATATAAAAAAAAAAGATGACAATGTTAAAGTCATGAACATTTTAAAGGACATAAGTTTCAAAAATCCAAATAAAAAACAAATAGAGAAAAGTTTGTATTTTTATAAACGAGGAAAATGGATTACCTATTTCAAAATGCAGATGTCAATGTGAATTCTCATATTAATTTATAACTTCCTTAATATTTCAGTACGCTGACTATATTGCCAATATTTTGTATCGCCATCATTTAAGAATTACTCAGGAGATTATGGCCCTTTTTTTTGGCTTTTAAAGCGTACTCGAAAGATTATATGTAAATACACATACAACTCAATTTTTGTTTTAAAAAAAAAACATTTTCTTTAACATATATAACATGCATACATAATAAAATATTAAAAACCTCGAAACTCATAGATTGATTATATATTCCTACATACTAAGTGTAAATATATTGCGAAACGTTTCACACATGAGAGAGAATGTGCGAAACGTTTCGCAAGGGGTCCCCACAAGCTGAAACGTTCTTTTTAATACTTTTTTAGGGCTTTTTTTTTTTTTTACTTCTTTACTTTTTGGATTTTTTCCTGTAAGTTATACGCTGAAGTTCTATGAGCCTACAACATGCAAATTGGTCTCGAGTATCCTCATTTTTTGTTTAAATTATAATCACTAACCAAGTGGATAAATAGTGTTCTTTAAATAAAAGTGGATAAACGTTTATTATTATTATTTTTTTGTATTTAAAAAGCTGTATATGTCTCCTGAAGGCCGAAACTAAAGATGTATAATTCGAAGTTTAATGCTATCTTCCATTTTCTCCTAAAAACCTTTCTCTGTTTAGATTTTTTCAATATTTTGGGATTGAATAATGAGCCTCCAAAAGTCCCACATAATTTTTTTTAATTAAATAGACGTGTAAAATGTGCAAGTGTGTGCGTGGGTATTACTAAATTGAACAGTTTTTAATAAGAAAAGAAGATAAATACTCTTTATTTTTAGATTATACGAACCTTAATTTTTAATGCTTTTTTAATTAATGTTATATTAATTAAAATAATATTAATCAAAATAATAAGTAAAAATTTAAATTTTAATGATAAATTTAATAAATTTCTCTTTCTTTCTCGTAGTTGGGTCTTACCAAAAGGTACTTCGACTCCTCATGCCACTTAAAGTGGGTTATGCGGTGCTCTTCTTCCACGCACCCCTTGCACGCGTATTCATGCGGTTTTATGACTAAAATTACACGCAAATCTCTGAAATGTAATAATTTAAAATTAAAAACTCAAATTGATAAAATAAATGAGTCTCAATCTCTTATGTGATCACAAAAAAATTCATAAAAAAATGTAAAGTGGGATATAAGAGAAAATTGGGCGTACAGACAATGTTAGTTTACCAATTCATCCCAAAAGCTTAAGCTGTTAGGATGGATTGGTAAATTAACATGGTATCAGAGCGGGAGAACTTGAGTTCAAACCCTCGTAATTGCACTTTTTATCCCCATTTAAAGTTATCATCATGTGTTGGGTCTTTAATATATATTGCGTTTAAATATTTACTTGTTGAGCTTTCTAATTAATTTACCTACACGATTGCCCATTGTCCAGCTCACACGTGAGGGGGAGTGTTAAAGTATAAAACTATTGTTGGCCCACCTTTTAATAGCTTAAGCTTTTGGGATGAATTGGTAAACTAACATGGTATCAGAGCGGGAGGTCCTGAGTTCAAACCCCCGTAATTGTACTCTTTATCCCCATTTAAAAATTATCATGTGTTGAGTCTTTAATATATCTCGGGCTTAAATATTCACTTGTTGGGCTTTCTAATTAATTTATCCACACGATTGTCCATTGTTCAGCCCACACGTGAACGGGAGTGTTAAAGTATAAAATTATTATTGGTCCACTTCCTAACAACTTAAACTTTTGAGATAGATTATTAACGTGAACGGGAGTGTTAAAGTATTGATAAATTAACAGAGAATTCATATACGTAAATCCCGTATAGACAGAGTACCATTTTGTTCGTCAACAATTGGGGCTATATTAACTTTTAAGGGATTCACACTATTGGAAAAAGCCTACTCGAGTTTCGGCGCGAGCGTAAAACACGTAAAACGTAAAACCGCAAATTTAAACTTTATCCGCCCTTCCAGTCATCTTCAATCTAGAGACAGTGCAAATTTCTAGAACAAAGTTGATGCAGCAAAGTATTTAATGGAAGATTCAAAATTATGAAAAAAAAAAAAAGTGATTTGCGGATTGTTAAAGTCGTCTCTTATAGCCGAGGCCAAAATAAACTTCTACTTAAAAAATAATTGTCTTTACCATTTTCTTTTTCCTCTTCTAGTCACGAAAGGGTACTTGTAAAAAAAAAAAAAAAACGAATAAAATATGTATGTAAATGTTCAATAATTTTTTATCAAGTTTTCCTACTTCAAGCCAAGCAATATAAATATAACTCCGCAATTTTTTCTTCGTTTAAATTATTATTTAACCAAGTGGATAAACGTAATCTTTTTTTTTTTTGGCAATATTTTGGGATTGAATAATAAGCCTCCAAAACTCTCACGTAAGTTTTCATTTAAAAAGAAAAGAAAACAAATCGCACGTGTAAATGTGCATCTGTGCGCATGGGTATCACTGAATTGAGCAGTTTTCTTGTCAAAATATACAGCAACTTCTGATGCCAACTCACGTGGAGAGTTGTGCGTGTTCTTCTTCTATGGAGCCCTTGTATGCATATCTCCATGCAACCATGTATAAAATTACTTCCGATCTCCAAAATTATGCTTTTTTATAATATAGAGTATCACCTTATGATAAAATTAGGAATGAAATTATCGCTAAATTATGCCTCCAATCACATGAATTATTTTTTATGTTAGGCTAATTTTGTGGTCACCTCTGATATTATTGGGATTCTTATACTAAATTAAAATATTCTCATTTTGAAAATTAGGGTACTATGTCAAAACTTGATACCTTCAAATTTCGTTAAATGGTAAGTACTCGAGTGGGCCAGAACCTTTACGACAAGACTAAACGCTTATATTTCATCGAAGGAACAGCTAACTAACCCACCACGTGTAACAAAAAAGGAATCTAACTCACCACAGTCAAACAAAAACCAAATACCGATAAAACCAAAGACTAGTTTCAACAACCTTAAAAACCACAGTCAAACTTATTTTTATTAATTGAGAATTTTTTATTTTTGTTTTTCAAAATTGTCGGCAACAATAAGTTACAGAATGAATGGTTTAGAAATTTATAAAACAGATCTTAAACTTAATTAATTAGTTTCAACAACCTATCAAATTTGATTACAAATTTTTTGTAGTATATATTTTCTTCTATATTATTTTAATTTAAATATATTTATATTTTTTAAATATACTAAATTCTATAGTTATGGTTTTATGGCCTAAAACAATATAAATAAAAGAGAAAAGCTTTTTTTTTTTATTATTGAATCGATGAACAAGACTTTCGTTGAGAAAGGTCAAAGCATGAAGGCTAACCACAAGTGTAACAATCATTGAAGGAACAGCTAACCCACCACAGTCAAACAAAAACCAAATACGTAAACGAAAAAACAAAAGACTAGCTAGACTAAACTTATTATTAATATAAAGCGACCTTTCTTATACGTAGGAAAAGAAATCCTAATACGACCAACTTCATTTTATCATATTTGCTTCAAGCGAAATATATATATATATATATATATATATATCTTTTATCAGAGTTGGAAATGCATGATTGTTAAACTTAAGCATTGCTCATTGTTGCACGGGCCATAGATCTTTTTATGAGTGCTGAAAGTGAAAGATTTCTAAACTTAAGGTATTATATTGTAAATAATGAGCATTTTTCCGTGGAGATACCCTACTTCATTAAATTTGATAAAAAAACATGCCAAAAATAAAAATGTAAAACTAAAAGAAGTAATTGATAGAGAACAATTAAAACAATGTTTTGTTAGTGTTTTTCTTTTCCCTTCACACTAACAAAAAAAATTCATGCAAATTTAAATAAGAAAATGCTCTCTATAACCTTAAAAGGAGTGATTAGTATCGTCAGTTCTTGAATAATGAGTATTGAGTTACTTTGGTCTCCAAGCTTTTTTCTTGACAAATTGTGTCCCCGAGCTTTGAAATTTTAACAGTCTTAGTCCTTGACAAGGAAATTAATCATAAAAAAATTTCTAGAATTTTACAGACATAATTACCTCCCATTTGCATAGTAACTAGATGTTTTTCCTTAATCTTCTACCTAGTTTTTTGTTAGGATCAAAATCAACACCATGATCATCACCGTACACTTAGACAACATTTAGAGAAGCAGGTTGATAGAAACGGATTGGCTGAAGAATCGACTCAAGAGGCAGCGTTGACTGGAGAAGCACTACGACATGAGACCTAATTAACGCCCAAAAGTGTCAATTACAAGCGATCAATTGTAAAACAAAAGGGTTGACCTATCCATAATGAGGCAACAAAAATAGATAAGAAAGATTTATAAAATAAGAACGTTAAAGAAAATAAATTACAAATAAATTTAAGAAAAAAATTATTTTTGTGATTTTCTAACAAATAAATTAAGATGAGAGATTTTTGTGCGAAAAGAAAATTCAATAATTAAAACGGTAAGGCGTTGATAATCTCTTATGTTTCGTTAACCAATCTAAGTTTTGATTCATAAAATAAAAGTATTAGAGTAAATTAAATCTTTACGTTTATTCCACGAAAAAAATTATCATTACAAGAATTTATTTTATGTCGTTTATATATAGCCTTTTATGCCCTTTTTTTTTTAATTTAAAAGTGAGGGGATTCAAACTCTTCACCTTATGGGGGAGACAAATGTAATATTACCATTAAGCTATACCTGCCATCACCGCTAAAATATCTTCATTACTTGATTGACAAAAAAAAAAAAAAAAAAAAAAAAAAAAAAAAAAAAAACAAGACTTTTTTCCTCGCAACTTGCTTGTTTTTATCAAGACTTCATATTTAATGTTGTGTCTTTGAAAACGTCATATTTTTTTCTGCTCAATAAAAAGTCATATATAATATTACCCTAACATATAATTCCGCTTACAATAATATCTAATAATGAATTATTATGGTCCACTTAGTTGACACTGCCGAATTAATTGTACCATGTAAATTATGTTTAGTCGTTTATCTTCATCACCTCATGTAACACTTACACACATCACGTGCATTCTGCTTATAAATATGGAACCACTGGCTTCAATAAGATCACGAAAACAAAAGCACACAACACCTTAAACCTTATAATCGGTCACCATTTATAGCCTTTATACAAATAACCATAGCCAATATGGTAGTAGTACTTGAACTCCTACCGCTTCTGCTCTTACTTCCATTGGCCCTTGTGGTCGTAATTCCCATCTTCCACCGCCGCGGCCGCCTCCCTCCGAGCCCGATCGCCATACCGATCATTGGGCACTTCCACCTCCTAGGCCCACTCCTCCACAGCTCCCTCCGAGACCTCTCCCTTCGGTGGGGCCCTTTTTTCTCCCTCCGCCTCGGCTACGTCCCTTGCGTCGTCGTCTCCTCGCCGGAACTCGCCAGAGAGTTCCTCAAGACCAACGAGCTCTCCTTCTCCTCCCGCATTGACTCCGCCACCATAGACCGCCTCACCTATGGCTCTTCCATGGCCTTCGCCCCCGTGGAAGCCTACTGGAAGTTCATCCGAAAACTCACCATGAACGAGCTCCTCGGCAACAGCCCTGTCCGCGGCCTCGCCTCGCTCCGCACCCGCGAGCTCTGCCACTTCTTGCGGATCCTCGCTGACAAGGCCGAGCGCGGTGAAGCCGCCAATATCTCGGGAGAGCTACAGCAGCTGACGTACGCAGTGATCTTCCAGATGGTGTGCGGGAGTGCTGCTGCTGCGACTTCCGGTATGGACCGAGGGCGAGTGGAGGAGGCCAGGACGGTGGTGAGAGAGGTGACCAAAATCTTCGGAGAGTTCAACTTGTCGGACTACGTTTGGTTTCCGAAGAGGTTAGATTTGCAAGGGTTTCGGAAGCGGACTGAGGAGATTTTCAGGAGGTTTGATACGTTGATCGAGGCGGTTCTTTGTGAACGTGAAGAGCTGAGGAGAATGCGCAAAGGGGAGGAGGAGGAGGAGGGCGTCAAAGGAACAGATTTTCTGGACATTTTGCTTGATCATTTGGAGGATCAGAAAGACGAGAATGTGCCATTCACCAGACTTCACGTGAAAGGCTTGATTATAGTATAAATTCTTCATCCAAAACTTATTGAATTAGCCTTTTTTTTAAAAAAATTATTATTTGATTTCTGATAAGTGCTTCAAGTTAATCGCAGCAACGATGTGCGCTCGTCAACTATCACATTAGCCCTCGGCCCGGTGCTCGGCCCGCATACAAATATGGGCCGGTTTGGCCTGATAGTTTTTTTTTTTTTTTAAAGAAAATTAAAAAGAGTAGTTATACTTGCACCAAAAAAATTTATAAATGTCCTCCAAACATTAATACTCCTCCAATAAAGATTTGAAAAGTCTATTCTTTTATAGATATAATTTTCAAACATTAACCCTCTTATACCCACCTAATTTTAATCTTGATTTGTTTTATAAAAGAATACAATCCACTTCAACTATTAATATTATTTTCTTTTTAAAATTATTCCAATTCCTCATTCACTTTTGTTTCATTCATTTTTGTTTCATTCACTTTTATTTATCAATTGTTTTCATCTTTCCTCAACCCTTTATGATGTCCACTAAATAAGAACAAAGCCTCCATAACACAAAGGCAACTAAATGCGATATTTTTTTGCTTCTATATATATATATATATATATATATGCATAATGATACTGATACATATAAAGGCTTAAGGGTTATCACATATTCGTAAGATAAAATGGATGCCCATAAAATATTTGATAAATGAATAGAAAAACCATTTAAGAACAAAGCATAAAGAAAGAATATTTTAGAGTTTATGAAAGTGAAATTAACTTTGATTAAAGGTGTGAAAGTATGCTTTTTATTCTTTAAAAAATATTTTTCTAATTATATTCAATGTGGGTATATGCTCTTTTTCTTTGAAAATAATACTATATTTTTTATATTATAGTTAATGTGGTGGGTACATTAATGAGTTTTCATGTAATTTTAATGTAGGGTAAAATTGTAATAAGAATAAATTATGAATTTGTGGGGGTATTAATAAATTTTTGGCATGTTTACTTACCATGATTTAGGAATGGGAATGGGGAATGAGAGTCAATCTCATGTTTACTTGCTCTTTTTTATCCTGGAATGGGAGTCAGATTGATGGATTTCACTCAAATTTAAGATTGAGAAATGAGATTGGCACTCCCATACTCCCCTTGGGATTGAGACTCACATTCCTGATATTAACATTAAATTACTATCATATCCCTATTATAAATATAAAATTCAAAATAAAATTCAAAAAATAATAATTACAACATATATTTATTATTTTATATGTCTAATATTATAATATTAGCCTAATTATTGATAACTTTAATATAATAAATATGTACTTTATTTATTTAATAAATTAATAATAAATTTTAATTTTTAACAATATTTTAATTTTAATTTTAATTTATTTTATGTAATTTGTAACAATTTATTTTTATATTTGAAATATTTGTACAATTTATATTTATTATTTTAATAGCCTATTATTATACTCAATATTTTAATTATGATTAATTTTGATATAATGAGATTTTCGATTCTGAATCCTGTCACTAAGTAAATAACTCATTCTAACTCCAATTCTTCACTGAATTCTACTCATTTCAAATGCTGCTGACTTTGATTCATGCACCAGCTAAACATGCCATTAGTGGGTGTAAATATAATCATTCTTTTAAAATATGGTCGCACCTAGCCTTTATAGGGCCCACATCACGATCTAGCTTGATTAGGCCCTATTTTCTCTCGGGTGGACCGGCCCAACGTACATTTTCATTCATTCCTACTCGCACGGTTTTATGGAACAGTTTTTCATCTTTAATAATGAGAAAATTACAAGGATAAACATTATTTTTCATCATCATATTATTCATGTCATTAAAATAATATTATGTAAAATATGAAACATATGTTGATAGGATAAGAAAAATTATCTTACCAAAAAAATATTGTGATAGAAGATAAAAGATATACTATCATAATAATATTAATGGAATAAAAAATAAATTTAAAATTAATGGTAAAATAAAATAGTGTTATCTTTTTTATAACAGTTTTGAAAATTTCCCATTAATAATTGCATTGATAATAGTTTCTACCTAGATTCATTTTTAGAACTGTTTATCATAGTTGAGAATTTAGATACATTTGCATTCTTCATATTTTGTTGTAAAGAAGTTAATTTCTGTGTTAATATTTTTTCGGCGTTCTATTTATTAGAGTTAATTGATGAAAAAGTTTCAGAACAATTTTCTTATAAATTAAATGTCTTTCCAGGATTTGTTCACAGCCGGTACAGATACAACTGCCGCTACAACTGAATGGATACTGTCGGAGCTCATCAACAATCCAAGAGTGCTCCAGAAAGCACGTGAAGAAATCGACCAAGTCGTCGGAAAAACTCGCTTAGTCAACGAATCGGATGGCCCAAATCTTCCATACATGCAAGCCATCATAAAAGAAGTGCTTCGGCTACACCCGGTTTCTCCTGTAATCACGAGAAAATGCGTAAAAGAATGTAAAGTTGGAAAGTACATAATTCCAGTAGGCACCATTCTGTTCGTCAACAATTGGGCTATTTCTAGGGATCCAAAGTATTGGGAAAGCCCACTCGCGTTTCGACCTGAGCGGTTCTTACAAGACCACAAAGAAGGATCAAAGATCGGCATAGATATAAAGGGACAACATTATGAACTTTTGCCATTTGGGTCTGGGAGGAAGATGTGCCCTGGGATGAACTTAGCACAACAAATGTTACCGACAGTTGCAGCTGCCATAATCCAGTGTTTTGATTTGAACATTGCTGACTCACTCGGCCATGGCTCTATTCTAAGTATGGAAGAAGGGTCAGGACTTGTAATTCCAAGACTTCATCAGCTTGTTTGTGTTCCAGTTGCCCGCCATAGTCTATTCACTACTATTCTTGAACCCGAGTCATAGAATAGTACTGCCGAGTACACAATAAATAGTTCATATCGAATTATATGTGTCATGTACACAATAAATAGTTAATATCGAATAATATGTATCATGTACACAAGAAATAATCAATATCGAGTTATATGTGTCATGTTCATGTGCTTATATTTCACTACAATTCGTCTTCAAGTATGGTCATGTTTTCCTCTCGCTTGAGTAAGCATAAATGTATTAATCATATTATATTATTTGGAATAAAAGTATTTCTGCATGTAAATGAATAATGTTTTAGTAAATTGCACATCTTTATGAATGGAGCAAAACAGTACTGTAACTGCATTTCATGTTTTAATAATATATGTAATGTGTTTATATGACAGTTTTCACCTGTCCATCTTCAAACCAGATAAAATTTGGATTAGCTGTATGGACGGACTTATAGTTCTGGTGTAATTTCTCATAATTGGTGAACCATTCTAGAGGCATAAGCTTTGTGATCTCCGAGAAATTCAACAAAAAAGAAGGAAGGAAATTCCGATTCTTCAGAAGGAGAAGACGTGGCAGTCCAAAATCAGACCGCTGTTTCAGTTGCGGAAAAAAATGACATTATTCAAAGAATTGTCTTAAGAAATCTGCCAAGTCAGCCAGAATCATCCAACAACTAAAAGAAAAGGTTAAATTAAAGTTAATTATAATTAGTAAATAAAATTAGACACTTTATTTTGATAAGATTATGTTTATTGTAGTGAGTAAAATCTACAATTGATTAAAACAATAGTTAACTATTGAGTTAAGAGTCATAAATTAAAAAAGTTAATCCGTTGTGAGAATAGTAAACGAGAAAATAAAATAAAACAATAAAGTGACAGAAATTTATAGAAGTTTTCTCGTTAACAAGAGCTACATCTTTTGTTGAGTTTCCGTAGTTTCTTTATGTATATTTAAAAGCATTATAACGAGTTATTGAGAGAGAAAAAAGAAGGAGAAAAGAGAAAATACAAAGAGAATAATAATAATTGCTATGAGTGACATAAGTGAGTGGGAGATATAGGCGTGTTAGCATTTCTTTTTTCTATTAATTATTTTAATGGAAGGGAAATTGCCACGTCAGATAATCACAATTGACACGTGATCCATGTCTTTTTGGGGCGCACTTTGTATAAATAGACTAAGTAAAAAGTATTTTTAAGTAAATAAATCACAAAAAAAATAAATTGGGTAAATAACCCAACTTTCACATCAGCATTTCACGTCATAAATTATGCTTTTAGGGTTTTCTTTCTCCTCCTCCTCTTCCATTTCGCGCCATTTTCTTCTCCCAGCCGCCTTCAATTTCTTCTCTCTTCTTCTCAAGTCATCGTCGTCGCACAACCTCATTAACATTATTATCTTGCCCATTCAGCGTTTTTATCTCGTCCAAAACGAAGTTTGAAGAAGAGCTACTAAGTAAGTATTTCATTTTCTATATCTCTCATGGTGTTTTTCGTTGTTGTTCATATGTTTTTAAGATGAGAATGTAGTTAAAAATCCATTAAAATAGTAATTTTACATGTTAAAAGACTAGTTTACATTGTTTGATATGATGAAGATCTGCTGGGTTTAGAAAAAAAAGGTTTGTTCTTGGTCGGTTCGTGGTCTGTTCTTGGTCTGTTCTTATACATGGTCGGTTCTTGGTCTGTTCTTATAACATGGTCGGTTCGTGGTCTGTTCTTAGTTTGTTCTTAGTCTGTTCTTATAACATGGTCGGTTCGTGGTCTGTTCTTGATCTGTTCTTATAACATGGTTGGTTCGTGGTCTGTTCTTGGGTTGTTCTTATTATATGGTATGTTCTTGGTTTGTTCTCATTATATGGCATGTTCTTAGTCTGTTCGTGAGATATTTGGTTTGGATTATCTTGATTAAATTTTTGCAGTTTTAAAATCTAAATAATGGCTCAGTGGAGGATTTTTTTGACATTGGAGGAAAATGAGATGAAACTGAAAGTTGTTGGGTGTGACATACAGATTGTAATTTAATTGGCATATATATGGATGAGAATGATACTCTCGAAACCTTCGTTGATAAGATTTGTAGAAAATGTAGAATTGATGGACAAAAACATTCTTTGCAGCTATCGTGGGTACCGAATTTGAAACAAAAATCGTTGCCCGTTGTAATAAAAGACAATGATGATTTGTTATTCTTCAGGGATATAGCCCATGAGGTACCGCTACACGTGATAGTGGATGGGAAGTTTATGAATCCAGAAGAACATATTGATGGAGTCAAAATTAGGAGAAATCCTTTACATGATGATTTTTTTTATCGTGATTTTATGGGTAATGTAGCTACAGATGAGTTTTCGACTCGTAATGATATTCCACCACAGTCACAACCACAACCAGAGTCACAGCCACAGCTAGAGCCACAACCACTTACCATTTTAAATGAAGTAGAAGTTGTTGGTCCTTTAGTTTGTATCGACAAGACTGAGTTTGGATCATCTCATGGATCTACGTTCAGTGACGGATCTAGTTTAGAAGTTGGTCAGTACTTTACAAGTAAGAATGATTTGAAGGAAAAGTTGCATTTAATAGCTTTGAAGGGGAAGTTTGAGTTTCGAACAACAAAATCAAATAGAGACGTGCTTGTAGTAGAGTGTGTGGATCTGAAATGTGTGTGGCGTATCCGAGCCTGCAAACTGAGACTATCGAACATGTTTGTAATCCGCAAGTATAATGGTGTTCACTCTTGCTCGTTAGAAAAGCGTTCAGCAAAGCACAGGCAAGCAACGTACTCCGTTATTGGAGGTTGCATGAAAAACCAATTTATAGGCATCAAACAGGGTCCGGTTCCCAAATCAATTCAGAAATATGCCCGTGACGAATTCAGGACGGACTTCAGTTATTACAAAGGATGGAAGGCTCATGAGTATGCACTTCAACTCGTAAGAGGTACATCCGAAGAAAGCTTCACTAAGCTCCCATCATACTTTCATATGGTGTCTCTTACTAATCACGACAGTATCACCAATATTCATTTTGATGAACATAACCGTTTTATCTATCTTTTCCTAGCATATGGACCCTGTATACGAGGTTTTGGTTGCATGAGGAAAGTTATCAGTGTTGATGGAACGTAATTGAAGGGAAAATTCAGAGGTACGTTGTTAGTTGCCACTGCACAGGATAGTGAACGTCATTGTTATCCCATCGCATGGGCCATTGTAGACTCAGAGAATGATGCATCCTGGACATGGTTCTTCTCGAACTTGAAGGAAATTATCACTGATTCTGAGGAATTAGTTTTTATTTCTGATAGGAATCAAAGTATAAGTAATGCATTGTCTACAGTTTATACATTAGCATATCACGGTTGTTGCACATGGCATGCGTCTCAAAACATCAAGAGTAATTTCAGATGTAGAGGTGTTCTGCCATTATTCTTTAAAACCGCTGAGGCCTACCGCATTGACGAGTTTTCTGTCTTGTTTGATGAGTTGTCTGCAAGATATCCCAGTATTGCCAGATACCTACAGGAGCAAGTTCGTTTTGAAATGTGGTCTCGTGCTCATTTTAAAGGAAATCGATATAATATTATGACCACAAACATGTCTGAGTTAGTTAATGCAATGCTCAAAGATGTTCAAAATTACTCTGTCATTGCCCTCTTTAATTTTATACAAGCGAAGATGTCAGAGTGGTTTAATAACAGGCGGGTCGAAGCTTTTAAAACTAAAACATTATTAACGCCAAGTGTGGAAAAAATTCTTCGTGAGAGGCACAACAAAGCAGGATTTCTAACGGCCACAAGACTTAATACTATTGAGTTCCAAGTGACAGGTGGAGAGGCCACTGTAATTGTCAACATTGGAGCGAGGAGTTGCACTTGTCGTGTGTTCGACCTTGAGCAGATACCATGCGAGCATGCAATATCATGTTGTAGAGAAGCAGGAATGTCACTCTATGATTTATGCTCAAAATACTACCGGACAGAAGTTTGGGCTCTTACGTATGCAGAGACAATCTATCCTGTGCCGGATACTTCGCAATGGGATATTCCGAATCACGTAAAGGAAGTTCACCTTCTTCCACCGCGAGTTGTACCAAAGAGGGGTAGGCCAAAGCAAAAACCCATTCCCAGCATAGGTGAGTTCACACGAAGACATAATCGATGTGCTAGGTGTGGGCAATATGGACACTATCAGAAGAAATGTAAAAACGCACCAATGTAATCATGATTTATAAATTTTAGTGTTACAATGTATTTACACTTATTGTATTCAACAGGTTGTAAAATGTATTCAGCAGTTTATTATGGCTTTGGGGAAGCTTATATTTATGGGGAAATGCTGCCTAAATTTTTACACAATAACCAGAACCGACCGAATGGTTCTTTAACAGATAGAGAACAGACCAAGAACAAACTCCAAGAAAACATTAAAAAACATACATTTTTACATATTTTTTTTGACTTTTTAGGTAATAATAAACATTGTAATTTATAAAAGAGAAAAAAAATTGGTTAGAAAAGAAAAAACCTAAAACAGACCAAGAATAGACCATGAACAAACTCGAAGAAAACATTAAAAAACATACATTTTTACATATTTTTTTTGACTTTTTAGGTAATAATAAACATTGTAATTTATAAAAGAGAAAAAAAATTGGTTAGAAAAGAAAAAAACTAAAACAGACCAAGAATAGACCATGAACAAACTCGAAGAAAACATTAAAAAACATACATTTTTACATATTTTTTTTGACTTTTTAGGTAATAATAAACATTGTAATTTATAAAAGAGAAAAAGAATTGGTTAGAGAAGAAAAAACCTAGAACAAACCAAGAACCATCTTGGCTCTTCTTGGTCTATTATAGGTTTTTTCTTTTCCCGCCAATTTTTTTTTCTTTTATAAATTACAATGTTTATTAATACCTAAAAATTCAAAAAAATATTTAAAAATGTATGTTTTTTAATGTTTTATTAGAGTTTGTTCTTGATCTGTTCTTGGTCTATTCTTGGTCTGTTGTAGGTTTTTTCATTTTTTACCAATTATTTTTCTCTTTTATAAATTACAATGGTTATTAATACCCAAAAAGTCCAAAAATATTTAAAAATGTATGTTTTTTAATGTTTTATTAGAGTTTGTTCTTGGTCTGTTCTTGGTCTGTTGTAGGTTTTTTCATT